CCAACTGTAACTAGTTGACGTTAGCCAGTTGGTTTTATTTTTTTATTATTTTTTATTTTTATACAAAATTTGTTTTAAAAATTGTAAAATTCTTTTTTTGGTCCTACAGCTTCCCAAACCATTAAACATTACATAACATTAAGTAACATGAAATGAAACAACATTAAATAACATAAAAATTATACAACATCCATCCTATTTATAGCTCAAAAAAATTCAAATCCAACGGCTAGATTTAACCCTCGGTTGGAGATGATAAGAAATATGGTCTTACATTGTTTATTACAATATTAATTTCTTAGAGGATCAAAAAGTTGAAACGAGTTCTCTGACCATCTTTCGGTTGGAGATGACCTTACTCGACCTTTGTCGGGGCACCCAACGACTTTAGGGCTCAAAAGTTAGAGCAATTATGCTGCATTATTGTGGTCCTTTGCATGCAACACTGTTTCTTTTCCACCAAGAAAATGCATTACCGTGCAACTTGTTGGGGGTGGTGATTTTCATTCTACTTTTTTCTCCATTTGCATTTTTCGGTTTATTTTTTGTACCGTTGATTATTCTTTGATTTGTTCAATCTAAATTTGGAAAAACATGAAGCAACTACACGAAAAAAGAGTTTGAAAATCACCACCTTGATTGATCGCTCATTGTATTTATCAAAGATCCAAGTGTTTTATCTTAAAGCACTAAAAGCCGCATACTGCTTTTATAATTCATAAGTTGTTTTTAGCTTTCCTATTAAATGTTCATATAAACGTTGTTGGTCATCTGAAAGCATTTTTAGTTGTTGCAGAAGCGGCATCGCCAATACGGTGACTTTGGATGAGTGCTCATCACATAATTGAAAGATTTACCTTTTCATGCACAAATCATAGTGCGTAGTTTGATTTGAGGAAAAAGCCTAAAAATCTTATGTCCTCTTGACCTTTTATACAGCTCATAGATTCTCCCTGTTTTATGAACTTTCCACCAAGTCAAGTTACAAAGACCTTCACACGAAGAGGGAACGGCTTATTATGCCCACGAGCATGTATCAACATCAAGTAATAGTTACCTCCTTAATTTAGTCATTCAGATTTGAAATCAATAGGAGTGATGTCTGAGTTTATCCATTGTTAATCATTTGAGTCATTCCGAAGAAAAAAAATCTATGTTAAATAAGGATCAAAATTATAGAAATACTCTCAACTTAATAAACAGTGGTCCAAAATGATTTGACAAAAATTAAGTGCATTTTTGTCATTTTACCTTATCTAACGAAGATTTTAATGATTGATGGTGGACAAACTCAGGAACCAGTTTTATTGATTTCAAATCTTAGAAATCAAAGTGAAGAGTCATGATAATCTTAAGAACCGTTTTGACTTAGAAGCCTATATAACATTAGCAAGTTACCTTCTTGTCGTAAAGCTATCCATTGCTCTAATCACACGGTCCCTTTCCATGTACATGGCTAACGTTTGTGTTTTACATGTTCCGGTGGTCCTCACTTAATTCTTTTGTATGAATGATAGTTATAGTTGGTAGTGTGGGTGAACCCAACATGGAATCTTTAAGATTTAATGTTTTTAACTAACCGGGCCTCAAAGTTATATATTAATTCTCAATTTTTAAGAAAAAGCCATCGTTGTTAAAGATTGGAAAAGCGTGATGTGATATGAAAAAAACTTGGACATGAGTTTGGCTGTCTCACAACGTCATTCGTATAGCATCTCTTACAAAAATATGAATTGTCTTTATTTTGGTCTTGCCAAATCTGTCGTCGAAGAAAACTTAGGTAAGTTTCCTAGTCAAGTCAATTGTAAGACACTTTTCACAAAAATATCAACCACATGTTTTGGCCTTGATCCCACACCAAAATAAAAGCTAAACTAAGCGTGCAGCTCTATCGAAGTTTCGCAGAATATAACGAACAACTTAATTAAGATCAAACTAAAAGTGTACTCATTGAGAAGGAAAATAATGGCGGATAGCGACTATAAAACTAACCCCTCCAACATTAACACACTTCCAAACGATATTTCAATTCCCAACTAATATATTGGCAAAATCAACCGAATTCGCATATAGACCAGCAGTACGGCACATCTTTGGTGGGAGCCATATTAAAAAGGTTTAATTTTGATTAGTTGAGTGGTTGAAATGAATATTGAAATTTCTCTTTTTTTAGTGTATTAAAAATAATACTTTCAACTAATTATTGTATAACACTAAATGCATCGTACTGTAGTTCCGGTAAAAAAAAGTACTTCCTGTCAAAAGAGTTTTTGGTTTAAGGTTTAATCCCATAAATAATAAGGAAACCCTCCGCGCCACAAATCGCCTTTTCAGACCTTTTGAGAAAACCCCAAAAAGGTCATTACATTTGCGCTTTGCTCTGTGAGCTGTCCTTGATATTCAATAAATTTTGTGAATTGCAGCGTCTGCAATATTTTCCGAGTCGGTGGAGGAAACAGCCACAATATATACCCAAAGCCCCTGTAGATACAGATATTTTGTCTCGTTCAATTATAATAGCAAGTACATTGTAGACAACCGCATTTAATCCGCATCATATGAGGTCAATTTTCTGGAACTCTAGTTTAAGCGGTTAACACGTTTTTTATGTGATGGTTGGCGCACGATTCTCTGCAAATCGATTAAACTTAACGTCCCGCTTCGTTACGAAGGTGATGCGGAGATCCTTCACTAAGAAACGTAATGGCATTTAAAGTCTTGACCTACCTTGAGAGAAAGCACCCACACATACGGCTACGCGTGCGTTTGGAGCTTATGTGCTTATTTATAAACAATTCAAATCAGACCATACTTTGCTGGACAATTCAGAAGCTGCAGAGAGCCTAGTGCTCAACCTACCCACTTCCACATCATTAGCTAAATCTATTCTATTATATTAAGAGAAGAGGGCTTGTCAAATTTTTACCCCATTTTCTTTGAATTTTGTCCTCACTTTTGAATGTATGATGTTCATATGAAGAGAGAAAAATAGTAATTTTGTATTTTTGAACTTTTTCCCTTTTGTTCCTATTTTACTCTCATTTTTTATGCACAATATTTAGATAAGATGAGCAAAATAGTAATTTTATATCGAAATATTTACATAAGATAAAAAATATGCATTTATTTAGAGAAATATCCCACCATCATTTTTTCATAAACGTAAGTGAAATCATGATATTTTTTGGATAATTTGAATGAACTGAAGCAATTGTACTTGAGGAAAACGTGGAAGGAGGTGGGCGGTTGTTTACACACACAGAATGTGTGATCATCTGTTAGTATAATATGAACATTGTACATTGGTACTAAATAAATATCAGTAATTTTATATCTAGACAATTCAGAAACTGCAGAGGGGCTAGTGCTCAACCCACCCACTTCCACATCAATAACTAAATATACACTTGTAACAAAGAAGGACAAATCGGGTAAATGGTCCCTGTGGTTATAAATTATTCGGAAGATAGCCCATGTAGTAAAAAAATTAGGATTTAAATCCTTGTGGTGTAGTCTGTTAGCAAAATTTAGTCCAAAAATGATTTTTTCTTTAAATGCCCGTTAAATGCATGAGTAAAATTGTACTTTGACGTTGTATAGTGAAAAGCAATATTTTAGTACCAATTATACATTTTTATTCCAGGAAAGGGATCCTCTCTAGATCCCTTCCTCCTAATCTACCACATCAGGGGATCCGTGCTATTGAAATTTGATCTAATGGTTGAAGTTATTATAACTTTTAAAGTAAGCCCCTATTTGTAATCGTTGAATCAAATATCAATGACATGAATTTTCTGATTTGATGGATTAGAAGAAAAGGGTTCGAAAAGGATCTCATTCCTTTATTCCAATTCATCCATCATTTTTATTGTGGGGATTTTAGTTTTATTTGTTGATTATGCTGAAATTTAAAAGAAGAAAAAGAATCTAGCTTTGAGGAGGAATAGCTGCTGCTTCCTTTTGGACTAAATTTTACCCTTGTATTTAACTAACATTTAACAGAATAAATACTTCTAGACTAAATCTACTAAAGGATTACATACCAGAAGTTTAAATCCGAATTTTTTTAATTTCAAATATTAGAAAACATTTTGGCTAAAAAAACCTTCTCGTTCTTCTCTTCAGAACTCTAAACAAATTGTTAATAAAAAAATTCAGTAAACAAGGTCAAAGCGTTTGTAATTAAAAAGGTAATTAAGAGAACATTAAACTAATGAGAGAAGTGAAGAAGATGGATTAACATTACTAATCCACGTTCTCACTGTTTAATAAATTAATGGGTTTTCCAGACGTAAAATTACAAAAAACAGTAAGGGAAAGATTCTCAGATGCTTCAAGTTAAAGGTTCCTGAGCAGTCACTATTTCATATGCATTGGAAAATGACTGACACCCCTTCCGATTGCTGTGTGTTAAATTAGCAAATTTTAATTTTTGGGTAGGGACACCGGGTTGGACAAAACTGTACTCTGAGTTGAAAACTGACCCCATGATTGTAGGGATACTCAGAAAAAAATTATTTTATGACTAAATCACCCCTCGGATTTTCTTCGTTTTGCATTCTTTGCCACTGAGAGAAAAATCTCTATGGAGAGTGCTCTCATCATGTTATGGGAAAACTCGAGTCAAATCGCATGATTGCTTGCTACGTAAACTTTTGTGACAAGCATATCCACAAATTTGGATCCTCTCTAAACTTTACTGTCTGAAGATTAAGGTTTAGAAAATTCGAGTCATTGATTTGTATGAAAGAGATATTAGAGCTTTTAATTTATACAAGATAAATCAAGAAAATTAATTAATAAAGATCGTCGGATTCAATTTAAGTAGTATGCTATCGTGATTTCTCGCATCAATGAATATCGTTATCGTTGAAAAAATGCATTAATATGCGTTGGTTTTGACTAATACTAATATTTAATGATCGGACCAATTAATTAGTAAAACGATCTTGTCGAAGTTTCTCTCATCCATATTGAAGATACCCAAAGAAAACTTCTACTAAGATTATAATTACGATCACTATATAGATTTGAACAAGTTCATACACTAACAAAAGGTACAAAAGCGAAGCTGGAATTGAAGTACGAAAAGAAGACCACTAACTTCAGCCACTTTCGATCTCCAAATCTTCATCGGCATCCCTAATTTCCTCAAAACGGCAAGCTCTTCGAAGTTGACATCGAGGTGAGCGACTTGAAATGATCCGACGGCACAAAATCTTGGGGCAGATTCGCCCTCTTCACAATCCTTCTCATGTTGTTTTGCAAACTCTGTTGGACTAATTGCTTCACGGCTTTCTTCTCCTCACTCATCATGTCCTCCTCCTCCTCCTCCATACGCTCCTTGGAACCCACATTCGGGTTTGAAGAAGACGAGGAAGGCCCGCAAATGGGAGCAGAAACTGCCGCCCCCATACTACTCCCGCCGAAGCTCTGCGAAACCTGCTTTCCTTTATCTACTCTCAAACACTCCAAGATCCTCGAGGCTCTCTTCTGCGCCAATGTACTACCCAAAAGCGTCAATTCGAGCAGTGCTGAAACCATTCCAGCCTCGATCATGGCTTGCCTATCCCCGAACGCCTTGTGTGCCATTACCATCAAAATGTACGATGCCTTCTCTTGGCATCCCGGCGAGTCGTTCCAATTCAAGGCATCTACCAATATTGGAAATGCATCCTTTACACTGCTAATTGCCTTTCGACCTTCGGGACAGAAACCAGGTTGCTTAGAATTGCAAGGATTCTTTCGCTCACTTCCATGTCTCCGAGCGATTTCAAGAAAAAGGGGATCAAATCCGTTTCCAATATGAACGAAATATTGGACGGGAAGATCGAGAGATTATAGAGCGCTCTCAAGGCGTCTTGCTTGGCTTGGCAGCTACTTGCATTGTCAGAATTCTTGAGGGTTTTAACCAAGAAGGGTATGGCGCCCGAAGCTCCAATGATCGGTTTATTCGAGTCCAACGCGCTTAAGCCGAGGAAATTCGCAATTATTGCTTCTGAGACTGATGGGTCTGGAGGATTTGGGGATTCAATTAGCTTCAGCATTTTATGCACAGCCCCTGCTTGGAGAACAGCAGCTTTGTTCCTGCAGAAAAAGAGGTGGTCCAAAAAGGCATTTACAAGGTTACACATTCAGAAATAAAAAATAAATCAAACTGATTAAAACAACTCAAACGTGAATTTTTTTTCACCAGAATGCGAAAATAACCACACAAAAAAAAAAAAAAAAATTGAACTATTGGGAGTGCTTCTTTGAAAGGGTAAAAGTGCTTTATGACAACCAGAAGCACTTCTGATTTCATTTGATAGAAAAACTCAAAACCGTTACGAGTCGGGAAGCACCTAAGTGCTTCTTCAAAAAGCAGTGAAGCACTTGGATTTTAGCTCTAAAAATTTCCATGTTTTCCAAGAAAAGCACTCTCAACAGAAGCGCTTCTGCAGAAAGCAGAGTTCATCATTTCACAACATGCAAGACTGTCAACAGCTCCAAGATAACAACAGTTTGGATAATTATTAAAATAATTTCGTTTAAGAAAAAGCAGGCATTGAAAATGATGGAGAATAAAACATAATGGCATGAAAATGACGGAGAACAAAAACACGAATTAAACAAAAAATAGCCCAATTTTTCCTCAATTAATTAAAGGTTAATAAGCTGATTAAACCAAAATTTGCATGCACGAAGAACAATTGGAAAGAGATATTAAGACGATTAAATTACATAAAAACAAAATTAGATCGAAATCCAATTAATCCTGTTTGTTTCAACTCACACGTCGTTTCCGATCCCGAGATTGAGCAGAGCGTAGAGCGACGCGATCTGAGAAACGACGTCGTCGGAGTCGAGCAAGGCGACAAGCGGAGGAATGACGCCGAGCATCGCGAGCGTGGCTCTGGCCTCCGATTCATCCTTGGCGTGCAATCTCACCTTGCTCGCCGCCTCCTTCCTCTTCACCGTGTCGTCTTCCGCCTGCAGGTCCTTCGCCACTCGCTTGAGCTCCTCCAGCTCCTCCACCTTCTTCTTCGTCGCGGCGTCGTTTTCCGCTTCCGAAAACTCCGCGAGGTTCAGAAGATCCGAGAGCTTCTCGGACTTCACTTTCGGCTTCTCAGCCTTCTCGGCCTCCTTAACTTTCTGCTGCGAATGCGTCGTCGCCGTTTCTATCGTCACCGATCTAATGGTGGTGGCTCCGGTGGCCGGAAGAGTCGGAAGACTGATCGGAGCAGCTTTGTTATCGCCGTCGCGGTGGCGGTATCGGGAGCTGCCGCCGCAGCTGATGGCGTCGAATATTTTCCGGCGGAATGAGGCGCCGGAGAAGGAGGTCCAGGGCCGGGAATGGCCGGAGGAGGTGGTGGTTGGGCGGTCTAGGACGACGGATCCGACATCGTTTCGGTGGAACTTAGCCATTATTCTTCGATTCTTCTCTGCTTCTTCTCGAGTGGGGAGCACCTACATTGCACCGAAAAACCAGAAAAATGCGAGAGAGAGAGAGAGAGAGAGAGAGGGGATCAGATGCAGAGGTTTCTGAAAACTTTTGGATTTTTGTTAATTTTTGTATGGTTGTTTGTTTATATAGTGAGAAAGTTCAATCTCAGTCGCAGAGACTCCGCTTCTTTCCTACTGACATTTGAGAAAGAGGGAGGAGTGATATATATTGAAGTCCCTGTTTGTATTCGTTATTTTTGTTTTTTTAGAATTATAAATTATACTTTTTTTTTTATAAATCATTTGAAAAAGGATTAACCAAAAAATATTTTTATTTAATTGGGTAACCAATAAAATCTTTAGACAAATCTAATAATTTTTCACTTTTGGAATTACAAGATTTCAATAGTCGACTTTTTACGTAACGTCTTAAACTTTTACTCTGCGTTTTTAAAATGAAATCTATTTTGGATTACAAATTATCGATTTTTATGCCACCAACAAAATCGTGTTTATGATTTTGACCATAAAATCCATGTCACATTATGAACTCCATACATTTTACTCCACGTATCAGAAGTTAGTTTCACACGTTAAATGCATAACGTACTACGGATTATAACACGGCCAAATTCACTTCATATGTTTTGAACTTTGAAAGCATAATCTACTAAATATTATGAATGACCGACTATTTGTGCTACAATAATTTTTACGGATTTGAAAATCCGAACGCAATAAAATAAACACATTATTTCAACGAACGGACAACCAACATTGCAAATTTCGTCCACAATCTAAAACCTCAAATCTATTATAATGAACGTTATCTTGTCATATCAAAAATTTGTAAAAAAAAATTATGAAAAGTCTAGGAGAGCCGAGCATGGAACACAAACAGTCCCTTTTGTTCCTTTTAAAACAAGAGAACGTGCAATTTTACCACATTTAACGCTTATTTTCTTCCTAAATCCTCATTTGCTGCAAAAATAAATAAATATAAATACAGAAAGAGAAAGTCTTATTGAAAAAAGGAAAAGTCATAATTCTAATTTGTGTTGGGGAGATAAATACAAGAAAAAATAAATAAATAAAAAGATAAAGGGGCTTCCAAAGCAAGCCATTTGTTTTTTGCATGGGGAAATGCGTAATTGGTACTATTCGCTACAGTGTATAGTACTAACACCGTCGCTACCGTCCTATAACTTATCATGCTTCCCAGCTATAAGAGAAGCTTCGCGCGGGGCCCTCCGTGTCGTTTCGTTGCGGCCCAGAGGAGTGTTTGATTCGGGGGTGCAAGATAAGTCGGGTGGGGGAGAGAGTAGGGTGCAACTGCGAAGGAGTATTTGGTATCGAAGTGCGTGCAAAGCTTCTCTAGTTCTCTCTCGAGGTGGGAGTTGCACTATTCAAGGGTTCTAAATTTCGGAAACGGATCGTTTTTGGATTTCTTCTATTAAATTCATTAAATTAATTAATTCGAAATCTTAAAATTTAATCCAACAGTTAATGTTATTATAAATTTTAAAGGAATTAGGTGATTAGATGGATTTTGTAAAGTTTCTAAATTGGGCTTGGTGTTTGGTATGTTCATATAAAATAAATAAAAAGGAAAATCGAACACAAAACGTTAGTGTACCGACTAATGTTTTTAACAAATTGAGTTACAAGGTATTTGTAATCTTGATTGTAAATTTGGGTGCTCTAAATCAACTGAATTGTTCTCTATAACGTTGCTTACAGATGACCATAATAGCAAAAAAAAATCATGTCTATATACTATGGTACATATTTGATATTCACTGATTTTCCTCGCTTCTAACAAATAACTATTTAATCAACTAATGCTATCGGTCTACTTAAAAATACATTTATTTTGGGTTTCAATTATATCGCGCAACTTATATGAATACCCTCTCTTATTACTTGTTAAAAAGATGTAACGATGTCATTTCTATTTTAAAGACAATTTCAGAACATAATATACACATAACCTAATTTCATATTCGTCGAGATCTATAACATGAGTTGACTTCATCAATTATGTATTGTATCTACTTTATCGAAAAAATTATGAGTTCAAATTTTATCAACGACTTAAAAGAAAATCAAATTGACATGGTAGTTTTTCATCAAGTTTACACATCATAAATTATTGATGCATGGTTCTTAGGTAGATTGATTAGGCTAGAAAGGCTATGGGGCACAATGATTGGTTGTTGGGGTTGCATGCATATTGTTCCGTGATGATAATATTGTCACATAGCGAGTAAAAATAATAGTGGGTTAAGGCTAGTACTTGATTAGCCATTGAATACACCCAAAAAATGCAATAACTTAAAAGCAGGTCAAACATTATTCGTGACGAAAAATACAGTAATCCAAAAGAATTGTGTGCGTTTGTCTCATAAGGACAATTTTTATATGGAATGAAACTAGCGTGAAGTCAGATAAGACTAAAATATATAAAAAAAAAATTTGTTTTTGTGAAATCTTAGTTTGGGCTTGGTGTTTGGTATGTTCATACAAAATAAATGAAAAAGAATATTGAACGCAGAATGTCTGTGTATCGACTAATTCTTTTAATAAATTGAGCTACAAGGTATTTGTAATCTTGAATGTAAATTTGGGTGCTCTAAATCAACTAAATTGCTCCTTATAACTTCGGGTATAAATGACGTTTTATTTTAATGATAAAAAACAAGCATACTTACGTATCTTGGTACGTATTTAATCCCCACCATGGTCGCATCATCAATTATATATTATTTCCACTTTTATCGAAAAAATTATGACTTCAAATATTGTCAACGACGTAAAACAAAATCAGACTCACAAAGTACTTTTTTATTATTATTAAGTTTACACATTGATGCATGGTTGTTAGGTAGACTGATTAGGGTAGAAAGGCTATCGAGCACAATGACTGGATGTTAGGGCTGCATGCGTATTGTTCCGTGATGATAATATTGTCACATAGCGAGCTAAAAAAATAGTTGATTAAGGTTAATACTTGATTAGCCATTGAAAACGCCCAAAACATACAATAACCTAAAAACATGTCAAACATTAATCTCGTGACAGAAAATACAGTAACTAAAAAATTGGGTACATTTGTCTAATTAGGATAATTCTTACATTGAGAGAAATTAGCGTAGAGTCAGATAAGATTAAAATATATCAAGTCTCATATTTTTGTGATAACTTAAGTATTGTTTCAATGGTTATAGTACACTTATTGACGAGCTTTAATATGAACGGAATTAGGAGCAAAACCAAATACCTTGAAAGTCTAAATTTCTTACGGATGACATAGTCCGAGTGCCTTTACGTAAGCTTTTGTCCTGACGCACCAAACATTACCTTTATAAAGAACAGGACACGGTCACATAACTTCACACCCTTATGAATCTAATGAGTTATACTTTCTAATTCGATCTATACACCAAATAAGACCTAATGGTCTTATCCATCACCACCTTTCAGCCTACAAATATTTGAATTCGATCAAAGATTTCTCACATATGACAGGAGATCGCCTAATACGAGGAAGATTAGCATTCATAATTACCAAAAGAGTATCTCATATGTGAGAAATTTGGTATCAAACTTGCTATCTACGTAAATAAAATTTAAAATCCTAATTTATAAGTGAAGGTAAATTATACTAAACCATAATACTAATTAGATCTGAAAAAGTAGTAATTGGTACGACAACGACAATCAGATCCATAGTTGGCCATGCAAATATGTCCATCCGCTAACCGGCTGGGGGGAGGTGGAAAGCGTGACACATTTTTTACGTGGGGTCTACAATTCATAAGTAAGCTTAGATTCGTTTCATAGATTGTAAGTACGTATACAGATCATGCAGGCTAAGGTGGAGAAATTGCCATGTGACCTGCGACCCTGCATCTGTTTATTTCGTCTTTCGTGTACACACACAGACTAATCTGACCGTTCGATTTTCAACATGAGGTTCACATCACTAGTTAAAGATTTGCTAGATTTGGTTTCATTTCGTTAAGGTCAATATTGTCAAAATATTCTATTACGCTCCAGTGTCCCTTACACAAACTTTTGACAATTGAGAGAACTTTAACAAAAAAAACTTTCGATGTTGTTTACTTTAACGAAAAATCATATTTTTACATTAAAAAATCAATCATAATACTATTCACTGTACCCTTAATTTTATCCTCATTGTTAAAATCCAAAATTTTCAAAGCTTTTTCGGTAGTTTTCTTTTGAATTTACTCTTGAATATTTGATCAAGAATCTAACAGCCAAATACGAAGATAACTTTGTTCTATTTCCTTGTAACTGTAACCCCACAAATTAAGACAAACAAGCACTGACCTTTTTCTTAAAACTTATTTACAATTCGAAGAACCGAAAAGGATCAGTCGTTCACAACCATGGCATCTGCAGCAGAAGTGCTCTCCAATTTCTTGATACGCAACCTCTTCTGGGGAGGAAGGTGTTTGGCGGACGGGGACGCCTCAGCATCGACAATAAGCGAGTCTTTCTCGTTGAAATCTCCTCTCAGGACTCCCATTGCAATTTCATTCTCAACCAACTGTTGTATCACCCGCTTCACCGGCCTTGCGCCAAAGTTCCCATCATCCAACAGTTGTAACAAAATGTTGAAGACATCATGATGCGCTTTCTCAATTTAATCGAATAGCACTACACAATAAGGTCTTCGACGAACCACTTCTGTTAGCTGCCCAACTTCTTCATAACCGACGTAACCAGGTGGTGCCCCAACCAAGCGTGAAACCGCATGTTTTTTCCATGTACTCACTCATATCAATTCTGACGAGCATTTTCAGTGTTAAAGAGATAGCTAGCCAAGGCCTTTGCAAGCTCGGTTTTTCCCACACCAGTAGGACCCGTAAACATAAAACTAGCTATTGGTCGATTTGGGTCAGATAGACCTGCCCTTGAACGTCGAATTGCATCAGCTACTGATTTCACAGCTATATCTTGACCAATCACCCTCTTATGAAGAACCTGTTCCAGCATAACGAGCTTGTCTCTTTCTGACTGTTGAAGGTTTGACAACGGTATGCCAGTCCATTTGCTTACAATTTCAGCAATATCAAGATCTGTGACTTCTTCACGAAGCAAAGAGTTTCCAGACTTCCGATACTCGGCAGGTTGTTCTCAGCCTCGTCTAACTGGCATTGTAAGCAGCACGATTTAGGTTGTAGTCTCGTTCAGCAGCTTCCATCTCTTGATTTACTCAAATCTACAAAGTTTAAAAACATATGAATCAACCAATCAAGAGATGAGGGAATTTTCCAAAGTTAAAGGTGCATAGTATATGGAGGAGTACCTCTTCTTTAATTGATCGTATGCGAGTCATGAGAGCCTTCTCATGATCCCATTGTTCATTTAGTTCTTTCTGTTTCTGTTTCAGCACTGCCAGGTCACTTTCCAACTTGCTTAACCTTTGTTTCGATGATTTATCAGTGTCATTTTGCACTGATAGCTTCTCCATCTCCAACTTCAACACAGCTGGGTCTACCTCATCCAACTCGGTTGGCTTAGATGTGATCTCCATCTTCAGCTTTGCATCAGCTTCATCAACCAGATCAATGGCTGCAGCAGATTCATTTTTGTAAAATCAGATAGTCCAATACAGAATATGAAGAATTTTTTACAAGAAAACCCCATTTCTACCAGCCCCCCATCACCACCAAGAAAATTCCTGTAAGACGGAAGTGTTATTACCTTTGTCAGGCAAAAAACGTTCTGTAATGTATCTGTCTGAGAGAACTGCTGCACTTCTTGAAATCTACGCTCAAGTGCAGCATCCTTCTCAATGTTTTTCTGTACTCATTCAATGTAGTTGCTCCTATACACCGAAGCTCACCTCGCCCAAGCATTGGTTTCAACAAGTTCCCAGCATCCATCGCACCAGTTGTAGCCCCTAACAGAATCATTAACAAGGACATCAGGAGATAATACGACTGATACACTACAAAAACACAATAGATTGATCAGAAAAAAGAGCACAAACCAGCTCCTACAACAGTATGAATTTCATCAATAAATAAAATAATCTGCCCATTGGAAGCAGTAACTTCCTTCAGAACAGCTTTCAATCTTTCCTCAAAATCCCCACGAAATTTGGCACCAGCAACCAACGATCCCATATCTAAAGAAATCAACTGTGTAATACAGGAGAAAATGTGAAATTAATGCACAATTTTGAATGTCAAAGAAGAGCCTGTTGCATTTGAAACATAACACACAATTAATGCAGTATACTTCTACAATGAGTTAACTTCAGCGTGGATATGGCCAAATTTGAATTGAGATCCAAGTAAAAGAAACTGAACCTGGGTCTGATTTGAATAACAATGCCAAATCTGGATTCAATCTTCAAACAAGAAAATGATTTCTATACCTAAGGGTTTCTATTTTTCCACCAAGAAATAGTCTTATTACCTACGGGAAAAAAATATATTAACTTTTAGAATGGATAGATAAAACTAAAATGAACGCCTACCTTTCTATTCAATAGCGGTTCTGGAACATCAGCACGCACAATTCGTTGAGCTAATCTGCAGATAGTATAAAAGTTAAAATGAAATATTTAAGCAGAAAATGCATAGGATGAACAATGCCTAATCTAGTCAATGGTGAATGAATGCATCAAGTCAAGACAAAGTACACCAATAAATCAAATTGCTTTAGGTTACAATATTTGTTACTTTTTGAAACAACATGATAAAGCAGAAACCTGCAATGCACCCAAATAAACATACCCTTCAGCGATTGCTGTTTTTCACACACCAGGCTCACCAATAATAACAGGATTATTCTTCGTTCTCCTAGACAATATCTGGATACACCGCCGTATTTCATCATCTCGGCCTATGACAGGATCAAGTTTGCCACGCCTAGTGAGTTCAGTCAAATCATTCCCGTACTTATCCAAGGCCTCATATTTTCCTTCAGGATCTATGTGCAAATACATTATGGATTCATTATTTAATGCATAAGAGAATGTCCAACACATAAAACAACTTATAAAATGGCAAATCAAGGTAAAGCACAGCATACTTTGATCAGTGACTCTCTGGTTGCCACGAACATCTTTAACAGCCTCCTTCAAATCCTTATCACTAAGCTGGAGGTTTCTGAACAATTGCTGCCCAAACCACGTATCAGCCTGAAACGCCAACACAAGGTGCTCCACCGAAACGAAATCATCTTTCATATCTTTCTTCTGCCGCCGAGCATTGTCCAACAAGCCAACCAGATGTGAACCCATAATAGGGCCACTGGTGCCACCCGTCACCTGCCACAACACAATGTTCAATTATTCACAATGTCATCTCAAGTAGAGTCTGGGACTGCTTCTGGGGAAGCTAAAAGCGCTTTCTGACAATCATAAGCCCCTATGACTACGTTTGGCAGCAAAGCTTTAAAATGTTCTTCTGCCCCAAAACCCTAAACCCTACTTCCAAGTGCTTTTCCATGAAGCAATTTGACGATTTTCTAATAAAAGCACTCTAGAGAAACGAAATATGTTTTTGCCATTACATCTATGATGAAAAATGAAACGGGTTTCGATTAAACGCACCTTGGGTTGCTTATCAATGAAGTTGTCGGGTGCTTGAAGAACCGTAGTGTTGTCGAGCCCAGCCTACGTGAAAATTCTCCGGGCCAAACCATCTTTCTGCTCCAAAAGCGCTTTCATCAAGTGCTCAGACTCCACCACCTGCTGCTTGCTATTTCGGGCGGCGTCAACGGCACCAACAATGTCCTCCCACGCCATCTCAGTGAACTCATTTTGATTGGCCTGATATTTCCAATCCAGAACAAAAATTCAAAAATTAGCCTCCGATTTTTGTATTCTTTAAATTCCAATCAAATATGAAAATTTTCAGAGATTTCGTGACCTGAGAGGAGCTCGTGGCGGAGGAGAAATTGGGAGTCGTAGAGTGGAAGCTGCGAGTGAAGGCGCTTACCAAATACTTGGCCGAAGCGACATTTCTGCTCTCGGGAACAAAGCTGGGGCGAGAGAAGGGAACGGCAGAGCTGCCGAAGGTCCGGGCGGATGCGGCGACGGCGATTGCCCGACTCCGAGAGAGAGGGATTCTCGAGGATTCAGTGGCGTTCAGGGACGCCAGAATTAGGGCCGACTTGGTGAGTGTCGTGGTGACTCTCCTGCTCGCCATTTGACCATGAAATGAAGGCAAACAATTTCAACAGAGTATGAGATTGTTTAGGGTTTATGTAATATATTCGGATTCAGTGAGCGAGAGAGAGTGTGTGGAGAAACTTGAGGAAGGGGCAATAGAAGCTTGTAGAATGTTCCAGAAGAGACAAATAATATTTATTCCTTTCTGTTTTTTTTTTCCCGCGTTTTTTTTGTACCAGAGCCCAACTGACCCAATTATTTTGGGCCTATCCGGTATTCGACTAGTTTTTTTTTTTTTTTAATTTTTTTAATAAATGATATTAAATTATTAATATCACACTAAGAAAGGAGATGGACTTAACCTCACAATAGGTTAGCAATAATGTATTTCAAGTTCGTCCTTTGGTGAGAATTGAACCTATGACCTCTCACTTACAAATTCGTCTTTAGCAAGAATCGAACCTGAATCGAATCCAAAACCTCTCACTTACAAGTAAAGAGAAATATCATTAAACCGTAGTACTAAGTCACAATATTTGACTAGTCATGTAGTGATATATACGTATATGAAGACCCACTTGGAAATGCTGCCAAATACAAGAGAAACTTACTTGCAAAGGGACACAATCATGTCACAATGACATTTTCTTTGTACAAGAGTCAATCTTTTGGAAAGCACTCCGCTTGAGAATGCTTATGTTAAGAGAACTTAAAAGCACTTTTGGCATAAGCATATTTGTTAACACACAAAGGATTTGTGGGAATAACATAGGCATCAGTTATAAAATTCTATTTCGGGTTTAGGGTGTGATTTTATGCACCAAACGGGCCCAAAATTGCAAATCCAAGTGGCGCTTCATGAATAAGCACTTTTATACTTTTTCTACCAAACGTAGCTACGAACCAAGATGCGAAAAAACAATTTTACCAAACTTCCATAATCCAACCAAGTTCAGAAGTTCATACTAAAATCACAAAACTTTAAAATGTTCATTCTGTGTAAAAACTGAACCAGATGGGGTTCCCCGAAAAGCCAGAATTCACTTGCTCTTCTTAGGTTCTTTTGCGTAATCGTTTATCAGTCCGTCTACTTCCTTCCAGAAAAGGCCTTCCACCAACAATCCATCCTTAGTAAACCTGAAACAGTTACAGAGAGCATGAAATTTGAATTAGCGCAATTCGAAACTCCAGTAAGCAAATACAGACGCTTGTGAGCAGTGTTAGCAACTCTGTGCACGCATGAAAGAACAAGGGAGGGGAAGAGACAGACCATTGAGTAACGCTCTTTGTGAATTCCACCGGTTTGTTTGCAGATATTGATTCTGGATCTGCACTGGCTACTGTAAGCGTGTACAAGTCAGAAAATCTTGGTAACTTGGAAGACACGACCAGCCCAGTGCTAAAGGCTCCCTGCACATATGAATCACTAATGAGAAATGAACACCACCAATTTTCTATGTTAGACAAAAATGCCATATACGATTTCTCTTCATGAATCAACTTAACGGGCATCCATTTCAGGTGATATGATCAACTGCTACCCCAAATTCCAAGTGATTATACAGTGGCCCTTAAAACTAAAAATATTATGTTTCTTTTAGTTGGTTAAAGTTGAAATTAAACCGACTTGATAATCCAAATTTGCAAGATTGACTGACCCCATCATACTGAAATTTTTTATGACAGACATATTTGGCAGAATCCAAATTTCCAGCAACTGATGTACCTTGTTATTAGCGAAGAAAACGAATGACACCTTTGTTTAAAGTATCTGGATCTACAAACTACAGTCTATGCCAAAACAACATTTGAAAATTCAAGCATCAAAGATAAGACCACATTGCTAATGACTTCAACTCTTCTTCCTCACACCCCGTGTAGTATTAAAAGCTTAAACAAAATGTCTGCAGAACTCATCTTAACTAAGCCCAAAACTATCTTTAACCGTGTCATTAATTGACCATGTGGTGGTAATACTAAAAAATATATACAAACATTAAACGACAAAAATATGAAAATGTTCACCAAGGATACAGAAATGAGCTTACCGCAGGAGGATGAGTGAACAAGATTGCATTTTTATCCTTCGTGTATGAGACCACCTGTAGTATCCCATTAACGATGACATACTTGCCAGAGTCAAAGATGAAACAAACTTGCGGGAATAATCATTCAAACAAAGATATACTATTCAATCAGACTCACATGGTCCCTTCTGAAAATTCATTCATCAATTCTTCAGAACCAAATAGTTCAAATAGCATTTGTTTGCTGATATAGCACATAAATATGACATCAAATGTGTCTCAACTCAAATTTTCAGATAAAAAAAAAGTACCTATAAAAACACACGAACTAACCGAGTATGCTAATTACGAAGCGAAATCACGATAAAACCATGTTAAAAACAAACAGCAGAGCCCATTTGGTACCTAATTTTTTTTTTTAAAAAAATGTCAGATTAACACCAAGGAAAAAGGATATAATGCAATGCATCCAAGCAGGAAATCTCGGTTTTCCGGAAATTTCTTGTTGTAGAACTGAGCAAACAGAGCAATGATTATTACAACGGTTCCAATCAACAACTTCAAGTTGCTCAGCCTCGTATTCTCCACATACCCGCGACTCTTAACAATCTACAAAACCAATTTAACTAAATTAATCCAATCACTGATCACTCCAAGCAGCCTCATAGTCCACAAATCACACAATAAATCAAACATCGCAAAAATTCTGATAATCATATAGTCGAATCTTTCGGTAATTGAAGAAAACGTGAGATTTTAAGCGCAATCAGTAAATTGGTGAAATTAAATGTATGAAAAAATTGTGGAAAAATCGACCGACCTCGGAGACGGACTCGTCGAGGAGATGCTTGATGGAGCTGTGATCTGAGAGATTGACCTTCTTAGGGTTTTTGTTCTTGCTCTCGGCCTTCGTCTCCGACATTTTGGAATTTTGGGATTTCTTTCAATTTTTTTTTTTTTTTCAGTTTTAGACGATTGAACTGTTACTGTGACGTCTCACTGTCTTGACATCATTCTTCCTATCAAAATCTGGCACGTGGACACAGAGATATACACGTAGGATCTCTTTCTTCTTCTTCCCAGTCCACCGTGTAAAAGAATTGTACTTGACGAGTAATTTTTCAGTGTGCCGGGAACACCATGCCACGTGGTGTTCCCTCACACATAAAAATTCAAATTTTGAATATACTTCAATTTTTATTTCAATAAATAAATAAATTTGAATTTTTATGTGTGAGGGAACACCACGTGGCATGGTGTTCCCGGCACACCTAAAAATTTCTCGTACTTGACGATTTGTTCACCTTTTAAACACTTGTTCCCAAAATTTGGAAAAGGATCAATCTCCATATCACTTTCTCCTAATCCATTAAATTAAGGGATCCAAACCATTGAAATTTGATCTAACAGCTAAAGTTATTATAACTTTTAAAGTAAGCTCTTGTTTATAGCCGTTAGATCCAATTTTAATAGTCCGGACTGATTTTTTGGATTAAAAGGGATCCGGATATGATCCATTTTCCCAAAATTTGACGAGTTAGTATCAAAACCTGCCATGCGGACAACGAGAGATACACGTAGGATCTCATTCTTCTTGTTCTCAATCCACTGTGTAAACGAATTGCATTTGACGCACTAAATTGGACTGCTGTCTTTAAACTAAGGTTTTTAATCGTTGATTACAAGTGCTTAAATACGAATTATATTAGATTTTGCATGGAAAAATATATTTTGAAGAACATGAATATAATATTTTGTTGCAGTGGTAAGAAAAATTAACAAAAATTCAAAAAGATATTCAAATTTTTTGGGTGCCAGAGAGTCATGAGTTTGAATAATAATTTTTGAACATTTTTCTTTTCTCTCTTACCACTACAACAAAATATCATATTCTTGTTCTTCAAAATATATTTTTTCAGACGTGAAGCCCAACTTATTTTATGAGCACCCGGGAATTTGCCTCATTATGCATGCGCGAATACCACCTCATTTTATGTGCCTGGTTCGCCTCATTCTCCATGTAAGGTGTTTGCATCATTTTTCGTGGCAGAAGCCCGCCCCCTTTTGCATCCACAGAGCCCGCATCATTTTGGCGTACATAAAGGCAACCTCATTTTACTTGCGCATGGCTAGCATCGACGTGTGCAATGTATCCCTCCTCGTTTTATGTGCATGAAGCTCGTCTCCTTTTATGTGCCTGAAGGCCACACCATTTTCTTGGAGCAGAGCCTGCCTTATTCGGTGTGCTTGGTTCACCTCGTTCTGTGAGCTAAGTCCGCCTCGTGTTGCATGCGTCAAGCCCGCCTAACACTCATATTTTTTGACAAAAATGCAAACTTTTTATTTTCACTAGATATTTTTCCTGAGAATTAAGTTATACTTTTTAAGAAATTTGGAAGCAATTTTACAATTTATTGAGCAACATATATATATATATATATATATATATATATTTAGTTGAATATTTAAACTGAGCACTAAAAAATTAAGTGAAAGACATAGTTGTGAGGCCCATAACATTGTCAAATGGGTTATACACTCAAGAATCCCAACGGAAAGTCTTACCTTAATTTTCAAAACTTCACAGTGACGGCGAATGTGAAAATAAATCAATTGAATGGTGATTTACGTAAGAATTTGCAAAACCAACTAAAAGCCATGGGTGTTAATCCATGTTTTTTGTAAAAAATGCACATTTTTATTTTCTAAATATCTTACAGTGAGCATTAAGGAAATTTTTATAATATATTTGAAAGCGAATCTATGATTTATGAAAATAGTTTCTTAGTCAATATGATTTAAAATTTTAAGTATTTGATTATAGATTTTTTTTTTTTAAATTTACACTTTTTCAATTACTTACATGTAAATAAACGCATAGAAAAATTAAGAACTAAAAAATTCCTTTACACATATTTTAATAAACGCACAAAACTCAGTAATTAAAATGTTTTCAATTCGTCACTTAGTACTACAGTCTAGTGAAATTCCTCTTAATTTGTAAGTGAAATGTCTAAGGTTTAATTCTCGCCAAAGACGAATTTGAACCACATTATTGTTAGCCTATTATGAGACTAAGCCCACCTTCTCTTCATTAATGTAGATAATATCGTTTGTTAAAAAAAAAAAACAATTCATATTATATGTAAAGTTAACATCGCCTTAATATTCCATCATATATATTAATTAACAAAGTGGTAAAATAATGAAAAGGTTACAAGTTGTGGCTTGTACATTATTGGGTTGGCTCCATGGACCCACGTTAGGATGAGCTTCATCGGGTGCCTGTCTTTCAACCTGATCATACTGTCCAGTTTAGGACATCTTTAACAAAAACCCAAAGAACAAAACCCCAAAATTAGTTTTGCAGTTTACACACACAACTTTCATTAGGATTTGAGTCATTTCGTTGTCGCCGTAGTAAAATTTGGCGGTCCAAAATACATTGGTTGAAGATGAATGAGATAGGACTTAACGAGTTGACCGCAGACTCCGTCATTTCCGGCGGCCGGTGGCCTATCAAGTTTGATTGATTACATGACAGACAAGTTTTTGTGTGAGGCCACCTTCGTGGTGGGTCAAGAATGTTTTGTACAATAATATACGTGATATAATATGAGTGAATTATTAACGTCAAATTATGATTTTTTTTGTTGTTGAAATTATTAGGGTGAGGAGAAAAATTTGAAACTATTATAATAATTTTAGAAGAGTGAGAGTTTCAAACTCGTGACGCAAGTATAAAAACTCAACACTTTATCCACTAATATATTAAACATGTGGTATAAATACATGACAAGATTTGTGCTACAAATAATTGTATTTTAAATAGTAATATGATTATGGGCCCTATAATATTGCCTTCATATGTCTTGTTTCCAAAGTAAAGGATTTAATTGACATAAGGTAATTATTGAGAGTCGAAACGACAGCGTTGGCGACCGTCATCCATTCCTTGGCGACGTCACTTTCTCCTTCCGGCTCTCTCCTTACGCACAGTCGTTAAGAACCCACCTAGTAAAGCTCTCCAAACCACGTTCTTTCCCCCCTTCTCTCTCCTCCCTCTCTCTCTCCTCTCCCGCTCCGTTGACCTAGAACCTCTGCCGGAGAGCACCGAATAACTCTCTCCAAGTCCCAGATCCGTTCGCCTCCAGTCCCAATTTTCCAAGTCAAAGGTCAGATCTTTAACCCCCAGTCGCACTTTCTTCCCCAATCGATTTTGTTTCTAGGGTTCTTACTCGTACTGTTATCTGCAGTTAAATACTGTTAGTTCGTCGTCGTTTGATGGTTTTCTTGTTGTTTTTGTTTCAGATCTGAGTCGAATCGCAGAGTCCCGACTCGCTGTCGTTTTGGGAATTCAAAATCCAGAAGATCCAGTTCAGGTTCTGGGGTTTTTGATTGATTTGCTAATTATTTATTGCATCCTGTTGGGGGTTTTGGTTTTCGGGGGTTCTCGAACGCTTTGGTCACTGTTTATAGATCTGGGTTTACTAGTATTTGTCCTTCTGTTGCTCGATTTGGTAAATTGGAAATGTCGCTTTTACCGAAAGGGGATTCGATTCAAATCCGAGAGGTGTGGGACGATAATCTCGATGAAGAGTTTGCTCTAATACGTGATATTGTTTTGAAGTATCCGTATGTGGCTATGGACACTGAGTTCCCGGGCGTGGTTCTTCGCCCGGTGGGGGCTTTTAAGAACATTAATGAGTTTCACTACAAGACTCTGAAGGACAATGTTGATATGTTGAAATTGATTCAGTTGGGTCTCACTTTCTCTGATGAGAACGGGAACCTTCCCACTTTGGGGACCGAGAACCATTACATTTGGCAATTTAACTTTCGCGAGTTCAATGTGAGCGAAGACATATTTGCAAGCGATTCGATTGACTTGTTGCGCCAGTGTGGGATTGATTTTAAGAAGAACAATGAGAAGGGGATTGATGTGAATCGGTTTGGTGAGGCTTTGATGTCTTCAGGGCTTGTATTGAGCGACAATGTGCATTGGGTTACTTTCCATAGTGGATACGACTTCGGATACTTGCTTAAGTTATTGACTTGTCGGAGTTTGCCTGAGAACCAAATGGAGTTTTTTAATCTGATCAAGATTTACTTCCCGGTGTTGTATGATATCAAGCATCTGATGAAGTTCTGCAACAGCCTTCACGGTGGGTTAAACAAGCTTGCAGAACTGTTGGAAGTGGAAAGAGTTGGTGTGTGCCATCAAGCAGGCTCCGACAGTTTGCTTACAGCGTGTACCTTTAGGAAGTTGAGGGATACCTTCTTCAGTGGCTCAGCGGAGAAGTATTCCGGTGTGCTGTATGGTCTTGGCGTTGAGAATGGACAGAGTAACTAATTGAAAGAAAGTAATTGTCGAAAGATTGATGAACATTTGTAGACTATTTAAGTGTGAGAGATGTGTAGTTCTCGCTGTACACCGTTCGCAAAAGAATTGTTGTTTTAGTTTTAACTTTTCCTCTTTGCTTTGTTGTAACTGGAAACCTTAACTGGTTCTCTGTAGCTTTGAGTTTCTTGTATATTATTGAAGTCAGTGTTTCAATAAAAGATTATGAAATTTCCCTTCAATGTGTTTTCCTCCTCAGAGCTCTATCTCGGGACCAGATTGTTGAATTCTTGTTCTTGTTATTTTTTAACTAATCATCACTGGTTTTGCATCTCCTTCGACGGCAGGCAGGAACGGGATTAAACCGGCAGAAGCAGCACAGCAGCCTGCAGGGTATCAGTTTTGTAAAGGAATAATCTCGAACATCAACTCTCGTCGTCATTTTATTTCCTGGTTTTATGTACTATGATCTAAGTAATTTGCAGAGTGCTGATTTGGTTCATATGTTGAATTTGATTTGAAAATTCTCGACTGTGAGAGACTCAAAAGTTGAAATTTCTCAGAAGTGTTGGTGCGTTTTCCAGATGACATATTTCCATTCCTACAATTTCGGTGCAAAATCCGGTTCACATAAGAAATTGAGAATACAAATTTGATTTGGGTCTCTCTAGTCTTAAGCTGGGCGGGTGGCGTTGACGATGATAAAAGATGGGCTGCATTATTTTAACATCATGCCGAAGGCTTAGAAATTGGCATCTTAACTTCCTGCAACTTGATATTTCTTTGTTTTTAATAATACTAGACGTATCACATTTTATCGAAATATTCTTAAATCCAGTACTATATCTAATGCTAGTCATATCGCATTTTATTGAGAAATTCTGAAGTACGACAAGATCCTCAAATGCATGTTCAAACCAATTTTCAGCTATGACACAACCATCGACATAATTAATTTGGTTCCAATTTGTTGGAAATTAGTTTTTCCATTTTCGTAGTATTTCATTGAGCATAACAAACAAATATATGGGTGCCAATTAGTTAGATTGCTCCAGTGATTAATATATTAATCTGGAATGAATTTGCACAAACAAGCAATATCTAAAACCTTTACACGACTATCACAAGCACAAGTGCACCAACACAAGTTTGTCACAAGAACAGTAGATGCAACAAACTTATATATGTGCACACATCAATCATCACTGATGAGGAGGCCACACAAAGTCATCGTTAGAGAACGAGATCACACATAATTACTTGAAGACGATACCATATCAAACTATCGCTCAAAAGCGATGCCACATCAAGTCGTTGCTCAAAAGCCAAACCACATCAACCGCTAACTCAGCACAAACAAAATCATCAGTCGCTAGTCTTGAATTTAGTTCCGTACACTTTTTTTAAATTGTCACAAAAAATTATCTCCTTAATTAAATTTGGTGCCACTGTAGGTTGAATACATGTAGGAAACAGATGAATTCGGATCCTCTTTGTGATGATTCCGAGGAACTATGAATTATATCGGTTCATTGTACATTATACGGTCAGAAATTATTTTAAATATTTTTATTTAAAAATAAACACAAATAGTACCAAATAAATTGTATATCGTGTGGTCAGAAATTATTTAAATATTTTTATTTAAAAATAAACACAAATAGTACTAAATAAAAACTAACTATATACAATGAACGGATACAATTCATAAATTCTCGTGATACTCACTAATAAGATCCAGAGAGGATCCTCTTGGGAACCAGATAACCACCTAACATTACCATAAAATACGCAAAAGAAGAAAAACACCCTGGCTGTACCCTATTTTCTGCTGCTTGTTTTTGGGTCCAAAAAAGAAAAAAGAAATAAAAAATGACTTACTTGAAATTTTGCAATCGAATTCAAAATATGGCTGCGCCATGTGATGTATTTTTTAAGAGTAGTAAGATCAAAATTTTATATTAAAATTTTAAGTTAAATGATATGGTTGTGTATCATTAGGTATTAATTAAATATCCATTAACATGCTTGTTTGTTTTATTAGTAATACATTATTTGGTTTATAAATATGATATTTCTTAATCGATACTTCTATCTTTTTTTAATGTAAATAATATTGTTTGTTAAAAAAAATTAATGTTATTATATACACTTGGAAATGACAATGACATAAAATCACACAAACGAGAGATTTTCCAAAAACACGGTGCATATACATTATATATTCATGTACAAATAAAAAAACACTTAAAAATAAAATCTTCCTATACTTGTATAACTTTCTATACGTTCCTGACACAATAAAAAATATCTCCACACAAATATACGTGGGCCTCAATTATTACATGCTAGCATCTTGAAGAAATAAAATGACTCAAAAATTAAGTTTTACGAGTGAAGTCAAAATCAAAATAGAGTTTCGGGTCATAGAAAAAATAAGCCTAATAAATAACCAAAAAAAAAAAAAAAAAATCACTAAATCAAAATTGTTTCTTCCCCAAAATCCAAAAAATTCCAATCGAGCAACGTGGCGGACCGCTTTTTCAAAAAGGTACGCGCACGTCGATCTGGGCCTCCTCTTCCTTCTCAGTCACCCCGCTTTCCTCGCTCTCTCTACTCCCAATTCCCAAACAGCACAGCACAGCTCATCGACGACGAGCATCACCACCGTCCGCCACCAGGTGATTTTATCATCCCCTTCGCTCACTCACTATCTTTAATTTTCTGAATTCGCATTACACATTAGAACCAGTGATTCGGATCGAAACCCACGAACCCATCAAAGATCCGATCAGATCCGGATCTCGCACCGCTCATGCCTCGCAAACCCAATTTCCTAGGGTTTCTCTCCGTCCTCCTCCTCCTCCTCGCATTCAGCCATGCCGATCCGGGTTGCCCCAAGACCAGCCCCCTCGTCAACTCTGAATCCGAATTCAAAATGCTCCAGCATCAGCTCCGCGGCTCGATTCAGATAATCGATGATTGCTCCTTCAAGGTCTCCGATTTCGACATGCTCCCTGGCTCCGACGTTCACTGGTGGGGCGCTGCCGCTCCCGATTTCACTAACCTTACCGCCGGCTTCGTCGTCTCCGATCAGAAGCTCAACGAGACGTACAAAAGCGCCAGCTTTATCGTGCGCTTGAGGGAAAATGTCACCTGGGAACGGATCCAGGTCCTCGCCGTGTGGGACGTCCCCACCGCTTCCGACTTCGGGCACGTAATTCTCGGGGATTTCAGAAACGCGTCGTCCGAATCGGCTCCTTCTCCGTCGCCGTCGAGTGGAACCAATTCAGGGAACGGAAAGGATCGGGTTCGGGTTCATACCGAGCCGACGATGCTGGAGAATTGCAAGGTTTTGTCGAAGAATTATAGGGTTCGATGGACGTTGAGTGCTGAGGAGAATACGATCGATATCGGATTGGAGGCCGCCACAGGGACCATGAATTACATGGCTTTCGGCTGGGCCAACCCGAATTCAACTTCCGAGCTCATGCTCGGAGCTGATGTCGCTGTCGCCGGGTTTAAAGAGGACCGCATGCCGTTTGCTAACGATTTCTACATCACAAAGTACAGTGAGTGTACGTTGTCCAAGGATGGCGAGGTGAAAGGGGTTTGCCCCGATACCAGATACGAAGGGTCCGGCCCGAATGGCAGAGAGGTGAACAATACCAAATTGGTTTACGGGCAGAGGAGGGACGCCGTGTCGTTTATTAGGTACCAGAGGCCGTTGGTTTCCGACGACAAGAAGTACGATTTGGCGGTGAATTATACGGAGAAGATGACGGTCATTTGGGCATTAGGGCCGATTAGGCCACCGGATCTTCTTCAGCCTTACTATCTTCCCCAGAACCATGGTGGACCGAAGAGTGTGGTTTTTGGGCATTTGGTGCTGAATGTTTCTGAAAATGTGAATGACTGTTTGGGTCCTTTAGATGCAGATGAAAAGGAGGATCAGCATCTCATTATCGCTGATGCCAAGGCCTCGCTAGTTGTTACTTCCAGCCCGGCGTTAAATTATCCAGACCCGCCAAACCCTTCAAAAGTTTTGTACATTAACAAGAAAGAGGCTCCGGTGTTGAGAGTGGAAAGAGGGGTGCCCGTCAAGTTCTCGATACAAGCAGGGCATGATGTTGCGATGTACATTACTTCCGACCCGCTTGGTGGGAATGCTACACTAAGGAATACTACCGAGACTATTTATGCAGGAGGCCCTGAAGCTCAAGGAGTTCAAGCAAGTCCTAAGGAATTGGTTTGGGCGCCGGATAGGAATACCCCGGACCAAGTATATTATCATTCTCTTTACGAGCAGAAAATGGGTTGGAAAGTGCAGGTGGTTGATGGGGGTCTGCCTGATATGTTTAACAACAGTGCTGTTTTGGATGATCAGCAAGTTACCTTGTTCTGGACATTGTCAGAACACTCAATATCTATTGCTGTTCGTGGTGAGAAGAAGAGCGGTTTTTTAGCAATAGGGTTTGGCAGAGGAATGGTGAACAGCTATTCCTATGTGGGTTGGATTGATAATATTGGTAAAGGGCGGGTAAACACTTACTGGATTGATGGAAAGGATGCTTCGAGTATACATCCAACAACTGAGAATTTGACTCATGTGAGGTGCAAGTCAGAAAATGGCATCATTACATTCGAGTTCACTCGTCCTTTGAAACCGTCATGTGGTAAGAGTGATAAACCGGAGTGTAAAAACAGAATAGATCCCACTACTCCACTTAAAGTTGTTTGGGCAATGGGTGCTACGTGGACCGATGAGAATCTAAGTGAACAAAATATGCATTTCGTTACAAGCAGTAGGCCTATTAGGGTGATGCTTATACGTGGTTCAGCAGAGGCGGAGCAGGATTTACAGCCGGTATTAGCTGTACATGGATTTATGATGTTTCTCGCTTGGGGTATCTTGCTTCCCGGTGGAATACTGTCGGCTAGATACTTGAAACATGTTAAGGGTGACGGTTGGTTCAAGATTCATGTTTACTTGCAGTGCTCAGGTTTGGCAATCATCCTACTTGCCGTTCTTTTTGCTGTTGCTGAGCTTCGGGGTTTCTTTGTCAGCTCATTACATGTTAAGTTTGGGATGGCTGCATTACTTTTGGTCTGTGTACAACCGGTGAATGCATACCTAAGGCCCAAAAGACCAGGTCATGGAGAGGAGGTTTCCTCTAAAAGGATTCTCTGGGAGTACTTTCATGTGATCAGTGGGAGATGCGCCCTTGTTGTAGGAATTGCAGCACTTTTCAGCGGAATGAAGCATTTAGGAGATAGATATGACGGTGAAAATGTTCACGGACTTAATTGGGCATTGATAATTTGGTTCTTGATGGGTGCATTGATGGTAATGTATCTGGAATACCGTGAAAAACAACAGAGGAGGGATAGGAGTTTTGGAAGAAGCAATTGGGTGCTGGGGAACCTTGAGGAAGATGACTCTGTTGATCTGTTGAGTCCGAACGGAATACACTCAGAGAAAGAATCGCAATCGTCAGGAAGAATGGAAGTCCAGTTAGAGCCTCTGAACAGATAGATAGGTAGATAGTGTTAGTCTTTATAATGAATTTCTGCTTTTCACCAGTTTTGGGAGTTTTCTCGCATCATATGGGGAATCGAAGGCCTGTTTTTGCGCAGATAATCTTAATCAGCTCCAAGCATTCATCCTGAAGAGACTATTTACCCCATGGAATGCAGTTTGTATACTTGATACGTAAACACCTTGGAAAGTTATATCATGACTGTCATTTTATTCTGCTGCCGCCTTCTTATCAAACCAAGAGCAGGGTCGGGTTGCGGCGTCGGACAGTAGCTTAGGACTTCTAGTGTAGATTTGTGGTAGTATTTTTTATGCTTTTGAAAGAACAAAGAAGAGTTGCTTTAGGAAAAAATGGAAGTGGTATATTTTTTTTTCCTTGTAAAGTGTCGTTCAACTAGTGTTTTTCACTTACTTTTTAAGTTGTACAATTCCAACATACATCAGATGTTTTTCATATTATGCTGTTTCCTCCGTCTTACTTCTTAGTTTGTTTCATTTGCTGGACATGATTCGTTTTGGTTGCATGGGATTGGAATTTTTTGCACTGAAACTGACCAAAACGAAACCTAACGGATTCCACCCCGAGTTGAAATTTGAAGTGCATCTTTGGCAGATTTTGGAGACATTTTATTTGAAGGATGAGCACCAAGCCAATTTAATTCAATGTTTGCATTGGGTTGGAGTCGACCCTGGTCTAAAGGTGGTTCCGTCCTTACCAGTTACACTACACAAAACTGGAACTATGAACTGATCTAAATTCAAAAATGAGTTGGAGTCGACCTTGGTCAAAAGGTGGTTCCACTCTTACCTGAAGTTGAACTATGACTTATCTAAATTCAAAATTGGGTTGGAGTGGAACCAGGTCTAAAGGTGGTTCCGCTCTTACCAGTTATGTTACAGGAAATCGAACCATGAACTTATCTAAACCAAACAAGTGTTTGTCTTCTCATCGTCCTTTGGAGAACAATGAAATAAGTAACTTCTAAGGTGTAAGATCACACTTGCGGGGATAGCTCAGTTGGGAGAGCGTCAGACTGAAGATCTGAAGGTCAGGTGTTCGATCCACCTTCACCGCATAATTCCGTTTTTTCATCTTTTTTAATTCCACTTTATATTCACGTGGGGCCTTGCTTGCTTATTTTAGTCAGACATCTTCATATGGGCTTCTACGTTTGGACCTGGGCTTTCAACCTTTTTAGATTTTAATTTCTTAATTACTTATTTTAGTCAATTTCGAATATTAATTTTCTATTTATCTCATAGAAGAAAATAGAAAGTATATATTATAAATGCGTCCCAATTTACCAAATTCATGTACTTTTGTCCTAATTGGAATTTAAATAAAAATCTGACCATTTACAGGAAATAAAAAGAAAAGAAATTTTATTTTACTATAACGGTTATATGCATTGAACGCTTGTTTACAATTTGAATTATTTGTTACAAAAACAGTATTTCAAATTGGTCATGAAATAAAAGTAGAAAAAGAGTAAGTGCGTCCCCTTTTTTCATATTTTCCCAATTAAATACGTTTCAGGTTTGTGAATGCACTGCGTGAAATCCACTTGTCAAAATGAATAACCAAATCTTAACTAGATTTGTGAGCATTGCGGAATCCCGGTTGTCCTTCGTGTCTCAACATGTAACGCCTCTGCATCGGATGGGCAATTCGAAGATAAATACAAACAATTTAAGGACATTTGCGAGATGGTCCTTTAAGCTTTAAGTAATTTGCATGTGTCCACAATGTTTCAGCTTTTGTTACCAAGGGGTCGTACTTTACTTTTTCTCTGTCATTTTTGTACTTGTTTTATTTGGGCTGTGAGTTAAATTCCCATGACCAAGTTCTTTCTTGGATGTGAAGTCTAATGTTCTATTACTCACCACATTTACATAGATTCTTCAAATTTTGTTGACAATGATACATTGATTTCACCAATTAGAAAGTAACGATTTAACTTTCCAGTTGGATAAGCAAACTTGATAACGACATGATATCGGTGTAACACTACTTAGTTGTCAAATCATTTCAAATAATTGTTAACTTCTAACCTCAACTTAGATGTGTCAAATGTGCTTTGTTGAGATATTTTTTGAAAACGGTCATCACTGACATGAGCTTTATTCGTTCAATACGTGTCAATTGTGTTTTGTCGATGCCACTAGTATCATGTTTGATACAAACTGTATCTAAATCACGTGTTTTTGAAAGTGAAACATTAATGAGTGATTGTTGCATCCTATAATATCTATTATTTGGAAATCAACGCCGTCATACTGAAAAGGTAAAGTTAATGATATAAACAACATAGCGCTTCGCTTAAATAGAACATACAAAATTATCTTATGATTCCCTGATCATTAACTTGTATACTATCACGTAACAACTGCAACATTCATTACTAAAATAAGATAAAACCGCATTAACTCTTTTCATTTTTCAATTCAATCAGATATATTGGTTTGTACGTACACCATTTGGCGCTCAAATTGCAACAAAACCTATAATACTTCATGACCAAGAAATTAAACAATAAGAAAACCTAGCTACAATCATTAACAAAGAGAGAACTACACTTGCAATATAATTACAAAATACACCCTCTAATGGTGTTGAAAATACATTTACTATGATTATAATGAAACAATAATCCACGTCCCCGAGCTTCAACCAAATTATATTCAAGTCCCCGAAATAAAACAAATTTCGAAACCTCGCCCATAATATGTAACGTGAAAAGACCTTACGATCCTTCGACAACCTTAATATTTCCATGCAACCCAAAATTAGAGCTTTATAAAGTCCCCCCAAGGTAAACAGAGTTTCCACGCCGAAAATCCTCTACAGTGTCCGAGGGGTAAGAAAATCATTTCCCATCTTTCTCTCCCTCTCTACTCACCGCTGCTTTTCTTTTTTATTTTCCATTTATTTTTTATTTTATTGTATTTCGTTTCATCTTTCTCTAACCCGCTCCAAACTCGGGCGTTTTGGATTCAGGGGGCTTCCGGCACACCTTCGAAATAATTGGTCCCCCAGATCCACTGAGCTCCGGTAACGCCCTCTCTTCTCTTAACACATTTTAATTACGCTAATATATTCTTAATTAAACACTCACATATCACTTCACTAAGTGCAAAGAGATGGTTTGTGAATTTTACTGAATTTTGATGTCCAAGAAACCCTTCAAAGAATTTTGAGCTTTCTAGGGTTCTTTTTCTGTTTTTGCTAAGAGGGTTTTGTGTGTGTTTTCACTTTGCGTTCATCAATCAGACACCAATCAGTTAACTAAGTTGTAACTAAGAAATGGTGGGAAAATTCTGATTTTTTCTGTTCAGGAAACCCTTCAGATGTGTTGTAATTTCAGGATTCTAGGGTTGTTTTGCTGTTTTTACCAACAGGTTTTGTGCTTTTCGTAGTGGGTTTAGCTTAAACATATAACTTCACTGGGTGACCAGAATTGGTGGGAAAATTTTAATTTTTCTGCACAAGAAACCCTTCAGATGAGTTGTGAATTTTACCCTGTTAGGGTTGGTTTGCTGTTTTTACAAATGGCTTTTTTGTTTTTATCTTTGTCGAAAACACATCACTCCACTGAGTGACCGAGAAGTGGTGGGAAATTCTAATTATTCTTTGCACTAGGAACCCTTCAAATGGGTTGTAAATTTTGGTCTTTTAGGGTTCTCTTTTTTATTTTTTTATTTTTTATTTATCTGTTTGTCTAATGTGATTTAAATTTTGTTTTAAATATATCACTCCACTAAGTGACCAAGAAGTGGTCATGAGGAATTTTGAATTTTTTCTGTCCAAGAAACCCTCATGTGGTTTGTGAATTTGGACTTGTAGGGTTGTTTGCTGTTTTGACACACGGAGGGTTTTTTTTCATTAAATTGCTTTCTCAATGAGAATCTCATGTGTGCATTTTCAGTACTTGGCCTTTCGGTATCACTTTATATGTCGTACTGCTGTTTGGTGTATTCAATTCATTGTGGAGTTGGTTACTTGAAGTTTCAGCTTTTAAGTTTTATTTCTTGCATGAGTTTCTTTATTCTTGGGTAATCCACCTGACGTGTTGTGAACTATGTAATGTTGATAATGCAAAATGGTTTTTATGTTGGTTCGTATAAGAAAATTGACAGTTTTCATAAATGAGGAATTCTTACGAGTTTGTTCCTAGCATATATGGATTGCTTGAACGTTCTTGATTCCTTGATTATGATGTTCTATGCATGTGGATGTGCTTGTGCATGTGCGTGAGTGTGTAGTTGTATGTATTTTTGTACAATCCATCTAAGTATACACGTGCACTTGCACTTTTTCTTTCATCATTTATGGCTTACCATTAAATGATCCCATTATTGTTGCAAAGAACTGCTTCTGTATTGTAGGTAGGCGGGTTGGGGTAATTTCTTTATTGTAGGATTACAAGGATTTTTCTTTCCCTTCCATTTAGGTCTTGTATTTAATTTGTTTTCTGTATAACGTTTCATTTGTTCGGTTTATGGAATTATTATATTAACATTTTGGTTAAAGATAATGGCATCTTGCTAAATTTAGTTGATCATTTTAGCAATACTAAGTAATTATTTCTGCTAATTCAGATTGTGCTTGCATAATCATGTTTGCATTGCATATGATGCACAATGTCATTTGAAACTTTTCAGGCGTATGAACCTCACAAAAAAAATGTTAACGAGTAGAGATTTCAAGAGTGGAAAATATTGTTAGATAGATGGGTTTCCCTGTGTTATAAAGAAATATTTCTAATTAATTCTAAACAGAAGACTACTGTGTTTAATATGTAGATATCACAGTGGTTGGACCATTTAAGGTAGAATTACTTAAATTAGTTGGTAAGAACTTCTTTCCCAGTTTCTCATGTATGATCCAGTTGCTGACTCAGTTTATCTCCCCATTCCCTTCTTGCAGAATATGAGTAGCTTGGTGGAGAGGCTTCGCGTTAGGTCAGACCGAAGACCAATTTACAATATTGATGAGTCAGATGATGAGGCTGATTTTGTGACTGGAAAACGTGGGGCAGCTCCAGAAAAGTTTGAAAAGATTATTAGGAGTGACGCGGTTTGTCACTCACTTATTTTTATCATTCATCATTATGCATGACGCAGTTTGAAAGGAATCTTAGGAGTGACGCTGTTTGTTTCGACTAATTTTTATTATACTTTCTCCTGTTTCCTATGGTTTCTCACTCACTTCTTTTTATCATTCATCATTATGCATGATGCTGAATAGAAAATTACAAAAAATAACTGGAGTAATTATGCATCAAGAGTCCCATATTCACACAGATATTTCAGCATTCGTTTTCTTAAAATACATTTTACCAATGAATTAATGAAGGATTTTCTGGGAAAATAAAAGAACTGACGTTTTTAGTCAGTAGTGCTATGTTCTGGATTTTTGAATGCTCTAGAAAACAGAAACTCGGTATTTGGATAATGTCTCAGAGTGTTCGCACTTCACTAATAGCATTCTTGACACCCAAAATGGAAAAAAGATTTAGAAGAAACTTATCATCCTAAATGAACTCCGTATTGTTTCTTTGCCGTTCTTGAAAGAAAAATTCTCTCTATTACTGCACAACATCGACTGGGTAGAGCAAAATTCTTATATTATGTGTGAAATATAATTTGTTCATAACATTGCAGTCCTTGCTTGATGAATTTTGAACTTAATATCATAGGAAAATGATGGAAGTTATACTTTGGAGATTTGAAATGAAATATTACTTTCTGATATGTTATTATAGTTTTCTATCTCATGCTTGCTTTCCATTTAAATTTTTTTATAGAAAATCCTTGGCTTACATTTTTTTTTTTGGGGGTGGGGGACAAATAGAAAGAGAATTCATGTCAAGCCTGTGGTGGAACTGGGAATCTTCTGGGCTGTGAAACATGTAGTTATGCTTACCATTCTAAGTGTTTACTTCCACCACTGAGATCACCTCCCCCTGGCAACTGGAGATGCCCTGAATGTGTATGGTTTCTTTCTAAAGTCAGTTTTGTAAATAAACTAGTTACAGATTGTAGGGTTTGGTGATAGCTGAGATTTTTTTTCTTATTTTTTTGCAGGTAAGCCCATTAAATGATATTGATAAGATTTTGGACTCTGAAATGCGCCCTACTGTAGCTGGTGATAGTGATGCCTCAACGCTGGGCTCGAAGCAAATTTTTGTAAAACAGTATCTTGTGAAGTGGAAGGGACTATCCTATTTGCATTGTACATGGTAATGGTTTCAGCTTATTATGTTTATCTGTACCAGCTAAATCTGTTTGTTTGAACTCCTGTTAGGCATAACGGGTTACAGTAGAGTTGTTCGACTCTGGAAACCTGCCCTAGTACTTTCTAGTTGTACTTATTTAGCAAGTTGTATCACCTTTTTAGCAGTAAACTTCATTTACTTAACTTTTTTGATATTTTGTCAATTTGAGAGTTTCAGTTTACTACATCTTCATCATCCCTGTTTACCAGTACTACATGTATTTTTGTTCAGGGTTCCAGAGAAGGAGTTCGTGAAAGCTTTCAAAGCCCATCCACGTTTGAAGACAAAAGTAAATAATTTCCATCGTCAAATGGAATCAAGTAATAACTCTGAGGATGATTTTGTTGCTATTCGACCTGAATGGACTACTGTTGATCGAATTCTGGCCTGCAGGTATACCCATTTTAAACTTCCCTTGTAATTACTTAGTACCATATGATTTGTGTTTTGTATTTTTTTCTTGAAATACAAAAAAAAAAGAAAAAAAATTATATGGTACTACTGTTGATTGAATATGGTGTGTAATCTTTAGTCTATCTGAAATTTGAATTTATATAAGAAGGTTTTAAAAATGCAAAACAAAAATCATATGGTACTGCTGTTGATCGAATTTGGTGTGTAATCTTTAGTCTATCTGAAATTTGAATTTATATAAGAAGGTTTTAAGATAGAACCTCAAGCGTGCTACGTTAAGTATAAGATGAATCACTGTTTAAACAGAAAACTGCAAGCTTCAGTTAATATATGTCATTGAGTTTCTAATGAGTCTGTGGTAATACTTGTTGAATGCTTCAGGGAATACGATGAGAAAGAATATTTAGTAAAGTGGAAAGAACTTCCCTATGATGAGTGCTATTGGGAATCTGAATCGGACATAGCTGCGTTTCAGCCGGAAATAGGGAGATTCAACAGAATTCAGTCTAGGTCTCATAAAGTTTTGTCTAGTAAGCAAAAGAGCAGTCTTAGAGATGCCATGGAATCAAAAAATAAGCAGAAAGAGTTTCAACAGTATGAAGGCAGTCCTGATTTTCTTTCTGGAGGTACATTATTTTCTCTGATATGTTATTTCTGCAGTCTGGCATGCATGTCTCTTCCTGTGTTATTTAGTTTGATCATTTAATTTTTTGTGCAATTAAAGGCACTCTACATCCTTATCAGCTTGAAGGGTTGAACTTCTTACGTTTCTCCTGGTCCAAACAAACACATGTTATACTTGCAGATGAGATGGGACTTGGTCAGTACTTTGCTTATCCTTGAAATTTTATTTCCTTTTCTTCTAGATAGCTGGACTTTACCAACAGTTCGAATTTTTCTGTGGTTGTAGGCAAAACTATACAGAGTATTGCTTTTTTAGCATCACTTTTTGAAGAGAAAGTCTCTCCACATCTAGTTGTGGCTCCACTTTCGACCTTGAGAAATTGGGAACGGGAATTTGCAACATGGGCACCTCAAATGAATGTGGTATGTAAATTAAATACCTGTCTTCTTTATCTTTATTTGTAAGTGTGGTTCTGATTAGAAATTCACTTAGTTCAGGTTATGTATGTTGGCTCTTCCCAAGCGCGTGCTGTCATACGGGAATATGAATTTTACTTCCCCAAAAATCACAAGAAGATGAAGAAAAAGAAATCTGGTCAAATTGTTAGCGAAAGCAAGCAAGATAGGATCAAATTTGATGTTCTCTTGACATCTTACGAGATGATCAACTTAGACTCAACATCACTGAAACCGATAAAGTGGGAGTGCATGGTAACATTCACTGGCTCAAATCAATGTACACATTATTGGTCCTCAATGTCTGATATCTGCCTAATGCTGACCTCCATATGCAGATTGTTGACGAAGGTCATCGTCTGAAAAATAAGGATTCAAAATTATTCTCATCATTACAGCAGTATTCGACTAATCATCGTGTGCTTCTGACCGGAACTCCCCTCCAGGTTTGTTATGAGATTGTTTTGTGTTACATCTATCCTTGCAAAATTGACCCATTTTAGTTGTGTTTTACAGTTCCCTCCCTGTGATATCTGATTTAATTTTTTTGTCGGTTTTATGTTGCTCTCGTTTGTTATGGGTCCCCGGATATCGCAAATAATAGTCAAGTTGTCTTTTTTATTGGTTTATAGCGTTCTTGTCCCTTATGGGACTTTGGGTATCACAAATAATATTCAAATTGTCTTTTTTGTCTGTCATCAACTTATCATTTTGCTGACATGTGATAAAATTTCAGAACAATCTGGATGAGCTCTTTATGCTTATGCATTTCCTTGATGCTGGGAAGGTTAGTACCATATCAACTTTAAGGTATTGAATCTAGCTAGTTGAAAACAAACTTGTCTTATTATTTGAGTTGACGCGTAAATACTTGCAGTTCGGAAGTTTGGAAGAGTTCCAGGAAGAGTTTAAGGATATAAATCAAGAGGAACAAATTTCTCGGCTTCATAGAATGTTGGCTCCCCATCTTCTAAGAAGTATAAATCTTAAATTCTTTTAAGTTTTGGATTATTAATACCATTTAAATATCTCTTAGAGGCGTATTACATTACGCTTGCATTGCTATTTATTCTTGTTTTTGCTTGTGTGTTTGTTTTATCCAGATGATTAATTCATTAAGGATAATTTGGATTTTACTGTGAGTTTTTCTTTTAGTTTGCATTGACCATTATAAATTGAAAAGTTAGGTGAATTGTGTGCAATTGGTAATTGGTGCAGGAGTGAAAAAGGATGTGATGAAGGAACTACCTCCTAAAAAGGAACTGATATTACGTGTTGATTTAAGCAGCAAACAGAAAGAGTATTACAAAGCAATTCTGACCCGTAACTACCAGATACTAACTCGTCGAGGTGGTGCGCAGGTAAGACTAAGTTCCCAGTGAAATTAATTATTATTATTTTCCTTCTATTCCAGCTTGACAATAATTTGGTTTTATACCAGATATCTCTTATCAATGTGGTTATGGAATTGCGCAAGCTTTGTTGTCATCCGTTTATGTTAGAGGGAGTTGAACCAGTCATCGCAGATCCAAATGAAGCTTTTAAGTAATACTATTTCTTTCTTGTTTGTCGATATCATCTTTAATGCTGTCTATTTGGGTTACTGGTTTCTTGTATAGCATTGGTGACTCATTTGGGTGCTTAAGTTCATAAGGCCGGGATATATTATTTTTGCCTTGTGCTTGTGTTAAAAAAGATTCTGCATTTTCTTGATCTATACCCTTTAAAGTAAGCTATAAACCTATAAACCTGAGGTATTGTTCTTTGAGTTTCCGAGATAGCTGATTCTACTTTTCTTCTACTATTTGACAGACAGCTGTTGGAAACTTCTGGGAAATTGCAATTGTTAGACAAAATGATGGTGAAACTAAAGGAGCAAGGGCATAGAGTTCTCATATATTCACAGTTTCAGCACATGCTTGATTTGCTAGAAGACTATTGTACTTTCAAAGTATTCAATCGTTGCTATTTTGTTGTTTGTCGACATTCTTTGATGTTGAACTCTAGTTTGCAGAATGAAACAGTTGATATTGTAAAATTGTCAATTTTTTTGGTCAGAAATGGCAGTACGAACGGATAGATGGAAAAGTTGGTGGAGCTGAGAGACAAATAAGAATAGATCGATTTAATGCCAAAAGCTCTTCCAGATTTTGTTTTTTGCTATCTACTCGAGCTGGGGGCTTAGGAATAAACCTTGCAACTGCAGACACAGTGATCATATATGATAGGTACATTGGTTCTTAGTTTACATTCGTGCAATAATTAATATGTAGTGTCATGGAACTTTCTTCAAGAAATTTGCTTTTGGTCTGCAGTGATTGGAATCCACATGCTGATCTACAAGCTATGGCAAGAGCTCATCGACTTGGACAAACTAACAAGGTTGAAAATAATTCTTCATTGATATCTTTTGGTTACCGTCTCTTAAACTGCATAGTGGTTTTGGGGTTGCAGGTAATGATTTATAGGCTAGTGACCCGAGGAAGCATTGAAGAACGGATGATGGAAATGACAAAGAAGAAAATGGTATTGGAGCATTTGGTTGTTGGAAGGTTAAAGAAACAAGAGATTAACCAGGTATGCAAATGTCCAAGACATTTGGGTCATTGTTAGTCTAGTGGCCGACTAAATTTAGTTTTCATGCTTAATTTATATGTTTTTTTTTTTCTGCATGCAAAGAAAACAAAATGTGTAGTTGGGTGATTATGAAATTAGGATTTTTTAAGCTAAAAAAGCTCAAGGATATTTGCAGGGAACAACTTTGAATCTTGAAAACTTGTCTCTTGGGGTTGAATGAGAGAAACAGGCTGAACTAGCAAACAGAGTGAAATGGGTTTCATAACCATGGATCATTGCATCTTTACACATATTATTTGCAATTTTGTATCCTGGATAAATCTGGTGGAAGAGATGCTTTGTGGTTAGAATGTAGGAAGCAAATACACATTGCATGTGATTGACAACACAAGGACCAAGTTGAAAGTCTGAAAAAAAAAAAAATCGTAGGAAATTTATGAAATTTCAGTTTGGTTCCTGTGTTTTCAATTTGCATATTATTTAGTTTGTTAACCATTTTGGTCCTTTCTGTCTAATTTGGGCATTGATGTCCGCACATAGCACACACAGAGGACATGAAAGCAGACCGAGATTGTTCTGGGATAAAGTTAAAACACAAGGACCAAATTGGTGACAAAAAAAAAAGTATGAGCAAACGCAGGGATCAAAATGTTACTTAACCAAAAAATAGGCCGTCATACTTATTTGAAAGGAAAAGTGAAGCATTTATGTGTAACGTTTTGTCAATTGAATGAACTTTTTGATGTTTGTCACTTTTCTTATGGAGCTGTGCTTTTTAGAGTTTCTTTAATAGAAGTTGAATGTAAGTTCAGATAACTGCACTTAGAGGTGTAACGACACTATGTACCTTGAAAATGTAATCAAAGTTTCAACTGATTTGGAATTTATGTTAGGAAGAGTTAGATGACATCATAAGGTATGGATCGAAGGAGTTATTTGCTGACGAAAATGATGAAGCAGGAAAATCCCGTCAAATTCATTATGATGACGCTGCAATAGATAGGTAAATTTATAGCTCACTTTGTTTCAGTGAAATGACGGCATTTCAGTATATGTTCTCAAAATTCTTGTTTGTTCTGTTTCTTTGCTGGTAGACTACTGGATCGTGATCAAGCTGGGGATGATGAGGCTTTGTTGGATGATGAAGATGAAGATGGATTTTTAAAGGCCTTCAAGGTTATATTCTACTTCTACAACATACATAGTAATGGTCCTTATGGTTATATTTCAAATGCATATGATGCTGGTGGTGCCTTACACAAGGCTTAATTGCTTCACCACCATACTTGATATTGTTGTTTGGTAGTTACAGTTTTATAAATTTTAAATTTTTATTGATGCCCTGGGCCTTTGTTCTGTTGGCAACATGTGGGTCGTAGCACACAGGCATTTGACTATGTTAGAAATGCTGCAACGTTTTAAGCATGGTAGTCTATTGGGTACCAATTGTTTTTACTTTGATGTAGTGCTCACTTGTTTCGGATGAGCTTCGACTAGTGCACGATAGCACAATAACACTAAAGTAATTTAGGGAGTTGGACATATTTTGTAGCACACACTTGCTGATTGATTCTATATGGTTGTATTTTAGAGTTGTCACATTTAGGTTGATTTTAACAAGGCAAAATGTTTGTATAATTTTTGTAGTTCTAATTTTAACCTTGCCTAGGGATGTTTCTAAATTCCTTTACAAATCATTTGTGCATGGATATTGGTTATGGATTATTGAAATCACAAACTTAGTGGTTGATTGGAATGATTCAGTTGTTGGAACAATTGGAACCAAGGATAAAGGTTCTCTTATTTTGTAACACTCCCTCTCTTTTAAATTGTCTTTGTTCTTTAACTTATTTCTTTGTTGCATCACATGAATTGCTATCCTTGTAGCCCCGTAATTACATTAACTTGATAAATCTTGTTAATTAAACACCTGCTTAAATATGAAGACACATGAAATGTAAGAGATTAAATTCAATTTTGTTTTGGAGAATTTATGACCCCAAAATTTTTTTATTCATATATTTCAGAGACCAAGGGAAATTAAGAGTTTACTTTATATATCCCTTTTTCCTCTTTCTCCTCATTGAATAATACCTTCTTCAGAAAGGGGGTTCAAGCACCAGTGGTGCAGCCTTGCTGGTGTGATATTCATCTTTATATTATTGAAGTCAAAGTCTATGTTTGCGGAACCTGTAACTTAGGTTGGGATTTTATTTCCATCCGGTCTTATCATGCAGGGTCACAATTTCTAGTACTAGGCAGTCTTGCTCCACATGATCTACTACTGTCTCATCTCATGTTTCTGACTTGTGATTCATGGGGATATTTTGTAAGGAAATTAAACTAGCATCATGTGTTGTAGGTTGCAAATTTTGAATATATTGATGAAGCAGAGACTGTAGCAGAGGAGGAACCACAAAAGGCTGCCATGGACAGTCGACCTATTGCGAGCAGTTCTGAAAGAACAAATTACTGGGAAGAGTTACTAAAAGACAAATATGAAGTGCATAAAGTTGAAGAATTTAATGCTTTGGGAAAAGGAAAGCGAAGTCGTAAGCAGGTATGGCACTAAAATTGCGCTAGCATAATTTTATCATTTACCCCTTTGATCAATGAATTGATGCCTTACCATCCCCCATGACAGGCAGAGCCTTATTATTTGGTTAGGACTCGTTTGTTATACTGTACAAGTGGTTTTACACAACTTCCGTTTTACCTTAAAAACAATTTAAAAGGGCGATTGGATGATTAAAAAAAAAAACCTGGATTGGCAAAGTGATCAGACGCCCTTATAGATCCATTATATCACCCTTAAAAGACCCATCATTATTTTGAGATTGGTTAGTTCAGCACTAGGATATCGTAGAATCATTCGAATAGCTAATTTCCCAATTAAAAAAAAAAGATAAGAGACAAACGATAAAGTAAACCCACCAACCACTTACCATGCTATTCAAGAGCGAAAAATATTCGTTCAAGTATTTATTCCCCCCACCCTCTCTCTCCCTCTCTCTCCCTCCCTCTCTCTCTCTCTCTCTCTCTTTTCTCCCCTCCCCCCTCCATTTACGGGTTTAGCCCAGAAAGATGCGGATGAAGTCGTTGGCTTTCAGATCTAAGGTATGGTTGAATGTGCATGCGTCTTGTGGCCATGTTCTTTGAAGACTGGAGGAATTTTATCTTGTGTGTTAACTTTTTAGGAAAAAAAATCCAAAATTCTTAATTTGGTTTGTATGGGATGAAACCGTGTTATTAGAGATCTATTGATGATGCCATTAGACATCTTGAGCTTTTGGAAAATTTTCAGATGGTATCTGTTGATGATGACGATCTTGCTGGTTTGGAAGATGTGAGTTCTGACGGCGAGGATGATAACTATGAAGCTGAAGTGATGGATGGTGAAACATCATCCTCCGGAACTGCTTCTGGGGGGAAGAGGCCGCCTAACAGAAAGAGAAGTCGTGGTATGTTTCCAGTACTGTATCAATAAGTTGATAACAAATTAACAACTAGTTGCTATCTCTTGGTTATCAAACTGACACTTTGAAATGACACTTTTGAAATGAATTATTTAATTTATTTTGCAGTGGAAAGCACAGAGCCCCCTCCCTTGATGGAAGGAGAAGGAAGATCATTCAAAGTTTTGGGTTTCAATCAAAGTCAGAGAGCACTGTTTGTACAAATAATGATGAGGTAGTTTCTTAAAATTTGTAGTTTTCTTGTCCAGCAGTTATTATTATGTTGGCCCATTAAAGCTCGAACAAATATGTGCTACAGCATGTGTATGTACATAGATGCGCATGCCTGGTGAAAGTGGGTGTTTCTACATTTCAAATTGTGTTTTGTGTAACTCTATTCTGACAAGGATGTCTGGAATGTATTGCATATTTGGGGTTAGGGGTTTATGTTCTTGTGAGTGTGCTTCTACATGTTAAATTGTCTTGTATGTGTCTTTGAGTAGGGCGTTTTCTTTTTGGTGACAAGATTCTCTGGAATGTGCAGGTTCGGAGTTGGGGATTATGACTGGAAAGAATTTACAGCACGCATGAAGAAGACATTTGAAGAAATAGATAGGTAATGTCTCCATATTTGCATCCGTTTTGATTTTTGAGTTAATTCCTTAATCTGGTATTGTCTTTATCTTCTTTCCTTCTTTGTCCACATGCTTTTCAGGATTGTTAGATTATTGACATGCTGTTTTTAGAGTCCATTGATTCAGTTGAATTATATATTTTTGTAGATGTCAGGGGTGACAATGTGATGCACCTGTTTTTATTAATTTTTTAATTTAGTTAATTTGGGAAGCAGTATTTTTAAAATATTTGAAACACATTAATGAAATATAGTGCGAATTAGGGATAAGTACTAGGCGTTTGGATGTAATCCATATTTGTGTAGCTAGAATGTTGTACAGATTTCTGTTCTCTCAGTAGCACTAAAAGTTGATATGCCATTAAAAACTCAAAAGACTACATAAGTTGATAAAATGAGATGTCATCTTGATCATTATTTATAAGGTAATGGTGTAAATGGATGCTTGATCTTTCAAGGTTGTCAACATATATACCTGAGGTGTCATATTCATCACAACTTATCACAAGCATTGTCAAATTATCATAGAGACAGGCCAAAGGGCCCACTTCCAACGACACCTATATTGTCCCCAACTTATTAATTACCACCTGCACAGTCCAACAGGTGTGGGGTTTTATCAAAAGGCCTTGGTATTAGTTGGAGTTGGGTTAGAACATTTAAAACTCTTCTTTTCTCAGAGAGACGGCCGATGTGGGATTTCAACAAGTATATTCCAAATGACTTTCATGCTTGCTTGAATAGTTGTGTGTATTGTGTTGTGCATATATGCGAAGAATTTATTTGTGTTCTGTATTTTTCATTTCAGATATGCTAAACTATTCTTGGAGCACATAGCTGAAGGAGACAATGACTCTCCAACCTTTGCAGGTGATAAATTGTTGCAACTCATGTCATTTCATCTTCCCTCTATGTTCGATGTCCTCATTTTCTAGTCTTAATGTATTACTGTTACTTATCTTGGTTGTAGATGGTGTTCCTAAAGACGGGCTCAGAATAGGAGACGTACTTGTTAGGCTTGCCACTCTGATGCTGGTGAAGAAAAGGGTAAGCTTGTTGGTTCAATTGATGATTATGATCATACTATTCAGATTTATCTGAAAATAAGTATTTTAAGAAAAAAAAAAAACTAATTGGTATTGGGACATATCCTAACCAAGTGAGTAATGTAGGTTGTCAGTTGAGTTTTTACTGTGTATTATTTTGTCGGAAGTGTTGAAGGTGATGCAATTGTTTGGATCTCCTCAAATGAAGGGTTGTCTAGATTTATTTAGTTTGTCATCTATTTTTGATATACTTGTTAGAATTCTTAAGTATGACTATAATATGCAGTCTGGCATGTTATGTTGCCAGACTATTATTAAGACCAGGAATAAGGCAATATGCCCTGCTCATGAGGGACAACATAACCTGACAAACTGTTGGTAGGAAAGCATCACTCAGTTAAGTATTACTTGCAAATCGAATATTTTAATAAAAAGTAATATCACAAAAACATGTTGAAGGGTGGGGAAAGCCACACAGACGGGATATAATAGGTGGATTCGGAATAAAAGTAACATCCTTTCTTCTGATTTGATTTTTTTTTTTTTTTTTTCTGTTGCAATGATAGGTGGAAGCAGCATTAAGAAATCCAGGTGCTCCACTTTTTTCAGAGGATACCTTCTTGTTCCACCCTGGACTGAAGGGTGGAAAGTATTGGAAGGAGGAACATGATTTGACATTGTTGCGTGCTGTAATTAAGTATGCATTTACTGCTTGATATTTACAATTATTCACTGCTTTTACGTAATTATTTAATGCATCTGCTGTTAATGATTATTCTTTGCTTGTCGGACTGATGAGGAACATTACATATCATGAATCGTATCCTCATAGATGTGTATATACATGGCTTCATCTGTGTCTGTGTTAGCAGTGCTGTTGTTGATAATCAAGTAAAGCGTGCTTGCATTAATTTGCGTTGATACTTCTTAAGATAGCCAGAAAGGCAATACATTCACTCGACCAGGAATATCCCTCTCTAGAAATTATTGAATTAGGGTTTGCTGTTCTTTTGGAGTGTCTCCTGGTCCTGCATCTTTCACTAGAAGTTGAGCATTGTCATTCATGCTGAACCGATTTTAGTTTTCTTAAGAGTATAATAGTACATGCTGAGTGATCCTTATGTTAATTTTCCACTTACTGTTTGCTTATTTCGATCTTAAGGCATGGATATGGAAGATGGCAAGCTATTGTTGATGACAAGGACCTGAGGCTTCAAGAAGTTATCTGTCAAGAGTTGAATCTTCCCTTTATAAATCTACCCTTCCATGGACAAGTTAATACACAAGCACAAAATGGTGAGAAAACAACTAATGGAGAAGGACCTAACATCCATGCGAGTGAAAATGGTAGCGGAAGTGATATAGGAGCTAATGTTGCCCAGGGAAACAGTCATGGCGCTAACCAACCGCTGTTGTATCAAAACACTTCTGTGTTATATCAATATAGAGATATGCAGAGAAGGCAGGTAGAATATATAAAGAAAAGAGTGCTTCTTTTGGAGAAAGGGAATGTTTCAGAGTACATTGCAGAAGAATATGTAAGTTATGTGTTTTGATATCTCATGGCACCTGCATATTGCACCAACTGTTCATTTCTGTTGGAGCTTAATGAAACATTTAAGTGCCTTGTAATCTTATTATCCTTGTTAGTAGTCATTCATGAAAGTAGGCATGGTTCTTTGTGGACAAGTTCGTTGCAGTGTGATCTGGTTGTTGATTGTTTTCCCAGGGTGAAGCAACTGTGGTTGGAAGTGAAGAACTCGAGAGTGAACCCAACGCTACAATATTGCCAAGCCCTCATTCTGTTGAAACTAATGGTCACATGGCTGATCAGTTGCCTAGAATAGTAGACATCAGTAAGTTTATTTCCGTTTCTTGAAGCTCTGATTGCCAGAACAATAACGGTAATCTGTCTACTCCTTTTTTTTGGCTTCTGTTGATTAGCTTGGTGATGTTTAAAATTGCAGCTCCTGAAGAAGTTGCTGCTGCAGCTTGTGACAACGATCCAGATCGGTTGAAATTGCCTCGCCTGTATAATGAGGTACATTATATTTGTTGTTGAGTACAATCTTGGTTTCAGTATAAGGATTTGATAATCAATTCGTTTTCGTTTTTTTTTTTTTTTTTTCCCTCTTCCCTATGTTGTTGGTAGATGTGCAAGCTCGTGGACCGAAATGCCCATACTTCATGTCCGACTGCCTTAGGAACCATTTGTGAAGAGATAAACATGACTCTCTCTTCTGCACCCCATAATCCTCCACCGGCATCTCACATACTGAATCTGGGTAAGCAATCAGAAGCTGAGTCAAGTAGCAGTGGTCTCCTGAAACCACCATCTCCTCAAAGTGACGGAAACCATGCTGTCGTGGCGGACACTGCAGAAGCCAAAGCTACAATTATGGAGCTAGACCCTGAACCCATGGACGGGATGATTTGTGATGATGTGGGAAAGCAAGAACAGGAGGAGGTTGATTCTAAAGGAAAGGGGGTCGTTGTATTGGATGATTGATCGGAGTGATGTTACTTTCTAGGCTGCGTGTCTTAATTTATACCATTTTATTTTCCTTTTTTTTCGTGTTTATCGTCGCGTCTATAAACCTCAAAATAACTGGAAAAAAAGCTGGACCTTCTTTTGATCATTTATAAGATACATTTCCCTTATCAGGAAGTTCACAAGTTGAGTTGATGGTTGACCGTAGTTTTTGGGGCATGACATGCTTCTACCGCATAATGCCTCTGGGTCGGGCCTTGAGTTGTTTTTCCCATCCGGGCCGACCCAATCTCCATTCTTTAAATCATTCAGGCCCGGACCGGCCCAACTAACTTTTTTTTCTTTTGTACTTTGTTTATTTCGTTTTTAAGCCTCCTTTGAAATCTTCCAGTTCACTGGATGCTCATTCAGATGGGGAAACGATTTTCACTTGGTTTCTCTTTGCACGTCCTCTCTCGTTTCTAGCTACATGATCGAACAAATCATGAGTGATTGACATGCTAGTCATGCAGAGGAACCTAGTGGGGCTAGGGATGCGACTCAGTGCCATACCCATACCTTTGATCCAACCAAGTTGCTTCAGAAATTTTGCATTTCCCATCAAACAATCCACTTCTCTGGACATCTAACGTAGTTTCAGTTGTATTCCCAAATGCACTTCGGGAAAATAGCATTCTCTGTCGATCGAATGAGTACAAATTATTTGTACCTCATAGCTCAAAATTTCAACTCTCTAGTGGTTGTCTAAGCAGGAAACCTAAATCTCTCTATGAACCCACCTAAACCATGATATCCTCCTAACTTATGCTACAAATTAAATACGAATTAGTGTGGAAAAAATGCTGGATTTCGTGTAGAGACATAATCCAACGTATACCCTAATTTAATTATTTTTTTGGAGTATTAGTGTAATAATTAGATAATTAATAACGAGTAGTACTTGATTTTCAGGAATCACTACTGAAAGCGTAGGACCATTAGATCATCGGAAACCCCACATGAACCATACTCACTCAACCAGGTTGGCCAAATTTAATTAAGTACCTTCGTTAATCATGTTCATGCCTTCAAATTAGAGGAAAGTAACGAGAGAATATATTTAATCGTGATCCATTTTCTTAATTTCTTTTAAGTAGCTTGAAGGGTTCGCCATTGATTTTCTTACGATTCTTTTGAGCATACTTATATGAACCAAAGAACCATCGTTATATCTTATTAATTAGTAATTAGTACCTTAGACACCACGGAACAGAAGTTTTGGTTCTTCTAAACTTAGAAGACTTACACAACAGAAGGATATGAGAGAAATATAATTAACTGCGGAAAACCAACTAGATATCCATGCATGAATCCATGAACATGTCTTCTGCATATTTATTAATTTATTAGGGTTTTCTTTGGCTCGTGGATTATCATTTTTTTATATTTTAATGTTATTTTTAAAATGTAGGGCTTCTCTTCCCAGAGAAGAGAAATCTCTTGAAAAAAGTGGCGTAATAGGATTAACATGTGCAAACAATTATTAATTCAAAATAAATATTCTTTTTGTTAATTTTAGAAAAAGGAAATTATTAGAACTGTATTGGATGTGGCAGTAAAATGACAGGCACATGCAGCCGACTGAATTTGGACAAGAATTATTGTGGTTGATGGTAACATATATATAAAGTATATATTTATTCTGTGTCGTGAAATCGATCTATGCGTGTCTCTGACATCGTGATGATCGAGAACGGTTCAAAGTAGTTCAGAAATTGGTGCCAATAATTTGAGTAAAACTCATCACGCATATATATAGAGGATTACTGCATCATTGCATGTTACTATTTGAATAGACATGCATGTAGATGTAGGTAATTCAGTGGAATTAATTTATTAAATGATAAAGATGTGGGAGCATGCACTGGGGATCTACTAGCAGTGGAAGATCAAAAGAAAGAACACATTCTGCTTTAGGACTTTATAATTAAATTGGTAGCTCTATTTATATCCTATAGTAGTATGTAGGGATAAATTATAACAAATAGAGAAGGATGATTCACACGAAATAGGACGTTAATCATGCGATGTCATGAGAGGAAATCAAAACATGTGATATGTGTTATTAGTCTGAGATATCACGACGATACTTATATTAGAATGTAGGTAAGTCTTAGTCATTTGTTATAATGAATTACATTGCTTAGATCCATTGCAAAGCCAAGTATATATTCTCAATCTTTGGAAAAAATAAGAGGCTATGTATATTATAAAGTGAAGAAAAGTTGAAGCAAAAGAAAGAGAACCGAAAATAAGGCATGGTGCTGGGAAAGGTTGATACAGGGAAGAGACAAAGGGTGAGCTTTAAATCCACGCTTTCTTTTGCCATCAAGAGCCACTTGCCAACCCTCCCTTCCTCTATCCCTACGGCCCCCCCTCTCCCTCTCTCTCTCACTCTTAAACAAACGCATGACATTGATGGTACTCCGAAATATCGGATACTTTAGGTGAAATGTTTTATACTTCAAAACACTATAAATTTTTTTGGTTCTTATATTACAACGTTATTAACTGTTCCCCATTCAATATCATTTCTCACTCCAAGTGCCAATCAACAGGTTCACCTTTACAACTAAACAGAACTAAAACTCAAAGGTTCTATATATCTTTTTTGGTTCTTTCCCTTATATATTCGACGTGGTCGTTTTTTCTCTACAACTTCATGACTTACAGAGGAAAAGATTCAATACATTCTTTTACTTCCATGCACACCTTTATTTGCTTTTTATCTTTAATTTGAATAAATAAAAAGGAATACCGATGAAGTATGCATAAATTATCTTTTAATATAGACAAGAACGAACCAAATTATTGAAGTGATGGAAAAAGTGCATTAAATTAGTTAAAATGAAGAAACAAAAGAAAATGTTAATGTTGTTTTATTATGGACGACAGTAATATTAAGAGTATTTCACATTAAAAATGAAAATCTTAGATAAAAAACAGGTTATAAGATTCCAAGGGTTAGCCATCTTCGAGCAAAAATGATGTATTATTTTTTTTATATGAATTTGCACAAATTTTCTTCTCATAACATACAACTATTTCTTCAATTATTCTTAATTTTTCCACTTTCACCTCGTTAAAAAGAAATAAAATGGTCCTACCAAAGAGACGTATGGGATCCAACCCAAGGAAGATGATGGACCAAGTCTATAGACAGGTAGTCTTGTTTGTCTCTCTCCTCTCCCTCCAAGTGCGAGACAGATCGATCATACATGATTAATTTTCATCTATTAATTCAGTCTTTAATTTCATTCATGTAAATTACACAGTACCATGCAAAAAATTCAATTGTGAAAATGACGTGATCATGTGCTTCCAATATAGAGTTATTTTGAGTGCTTCCAAACTTGTCAAACTAGTTTGAGTAGTGTGTTTGATTTTCCGCACTCAAATTTAAATTTTCTCTCTCAGTTTGGATAAATATAAAGGAGTTTTTGGATGCGGTCTCTAGCTATTAATGTTTTTTTTTACTAAAACCTTGTTAGTTTTCAGTTTTTTTATTAAAATTTTTGACATTAATATAATAATGTATTCCTATGTAGGTTATTATATTGTTTAAATTAAAAGTTGAAATTTGTAGTTGTTAATATTAATGAGATTTTAAATAAAACTCATCATTTATGGGATTAAAAATATAAATTGTACTCTTTAATATATTGTATGTATGTATATGTGTGTGTGTGTGTGTGTGTGTGTGTGTGTGTAAACATGGGCACATTCATCAAAATTAATAGAAAAAATTATTGCACCAAAACATGTGTACATTCTTTGAAAAAAAGAAAGATATTAAGTTTAATAACATTAGTAAATTTCTTCAATTAAACTTGACATGGATATATATTCTTGAATCAGCGAAAAAAAATGTACTCATATAAGTTCAAATAATGGATTAGAAAAAAAAATTGAATGGATATTATAAAAAAAAATGGGTACATTTTATATTTTAAAAAAGGTACATTTTACATATGACAAATTGGTATATTTAAGAATGAGTACATTTATGATTAAAAAAAATTTAAAAATTATATGAGTGGGAACATTTAAGATTAAAAATTTGAAAACCTTTTTATAAAAAATAAGTGGGTACGAACTTTTCTAATTTTTTTTTTTGTTTTCAAATGTTTTGAATTGAAAATTAATTAGGAGTTTAATAAAGTGTGAGTATTAAAACACTAAATCAATTACTAATTTTTATTTTTAAAAATTACATGTAACATGTATATTCATTAATACAGTAATATCAGGGTCTTCGATCAAAATCTAAAAACTAATAAGATCTCAATCAATGAATGTTAGTAACTAGGGACCGAATACTAATTTTTAAAAATTTAATGTAGAAATGTTAAAATGGTCCCTGTGTTTTGGTCATTGGGTCAATTTAGTCCCTGTGTTTTCAATTTGGCCAATTTGGTCCTTGTGTTTATCTTCGTTAGCCAATTAAAGACATTTCCATCTAATTTATGTAACATCCCACAACGTCCAGGGAAGTGGATCCTGTAAGCTTTATATGTATATTCTCATCTCTACCTAGCACGAGGCCTTTTGGGAACTCATTGGCTTCAGGTTTCGTAAGAACTCCGAAGTTAAGCGAGTAGCGCGCGAGACCATTCCCAGAATGGGTGACCCACTGGGAAGTTCTCGTGTAAGTTCCTAGAAACAAAACTGTGATGGCGTGGTCGGGGCCCAAAGCGAACAATATCGTGCTACGGTGGAGTCGAGCCCGGATGTGGTGGGGGCCGGGGCTAAGATGTGACAATTTGGTATTAGAGCCAATCCCTAGCCAGATGTGTGCCGACGAGAACGTTGGGCCCCTAAGGGGGGTGGATTGTAACATCCCACGTCGCCTAGGGGAGTGGATCTTGTAAGCTTTATATGTATATTCTCATCTCTACCTAACATGAGACCTTTTGTGAGCTCATCGGCTTCGAGTTCCGTAGGAACTCCGAAGTTAAGCGAGTAGCGCGCGAGAGCATTCCCAGGATGGGTGACCCACTGGGAAGATCTCGTGTGAGTTCCCAGAAACAAAACCATGAGGGTGTGGTAGGGCCCAAAGCGGACAATATTGTGCTACGGTAGAGTCGAGCCCGGGATATGGTGGGGGCTTGGGCTGGGATGTGACAATTTATGTAAAAAATTTATAAATTATAAACTTATTTATAAAATTATAATTTATTTGATTTAAAATATTTAAAAATTAAATTAAATTAAAATTAAAAGAAAAATTTTTCTCCTCCTAGACCTCCTCCCTAACATTACCTCCTCTCTTTTCTATGTCACAACCTTAATCATTTTTCAGATTGGAAGTTTTATCTCTTATGTGTTATTTCTCATTGATTTGCATTTTTCTGTAAAGAGAAAGGGTAATTATATCTCATATGATTTTTCTTATGAATTTTTTAAAAAAGATCGGATGAAATGTTCTTAATTGGCTAACAGAGACAAACACGATAACTAAATTAGCTAAATCGAAAACACAGGGACTAAATTGACCATATGGCTATAACACAGGGACCATTTTGACATTTAAGCCATATCGTTTTTGAATAAAAAAGTTATGAGTGCAACCTCTACATTTCGATGTCTATATATTTACCATCTCCTCGCCTCCTCTCTCTCACATTTGTTAAGGCCAGCTAAGCTTGAAAACCCTTGCTAGCAATCAAACTCCATGGGCACAGAACGTGACATTGATGATTACTTAACCATAGTTTCAATCACCAAAACCGTGTCTGTACTCCCAAAAGTTCTGCACGCACCAAAACTTCTCACCCTCTCAAACTTGGACAGGCAGAGTCCAATCCATATGTACTTGGTTTTCTTTTACATTTCTAACTCTGTTGCTCATCACAAAGACAACGATCTGTTACTTGATGGTGCTGATGATTCGGTTTTCGGAAGCTTGAAGTGTGGATTGGAAGAGACGTTATCGGTGTGGTACCCAGCAGCGGGGAGGTTGAGCTTGAACCCTAGTGATCATGGAAACAAATTCAACTTGTGGTGCAACAACAAAGGCGCTGTTCTCGTCGAGGCGGAGACACCGGTTAAGGTCTCGGAGCTTGGGGACCTCTCTCAGTACAATGAATTTTTTGAGAAATTAGTTCACAAGCCTGTGTTTGATGGAGACTTCTCTGAGACGCCTTTGGTTGTTGGTCAGGTAATTATATGTACCGATTAAATTTTGTATTATATCAATATATTGCCTAATTAAAAGTTACATTTGTATACAATTTGTTCAAGGATATCAATTCCATCTACCTTGTTATCTTTAATTCTGATATATATTGATTGTTTTCGGATAAATTTATGGGGTTTTTGAACATTACTTGTCGGAAATTTTGAAATTTAAAAAAAAAAATTCCGGTGTTAGATTACACATTAATTTTTATTCTTTGGAGTGTACTTGTTAGATCTCACATCGCCCAGGCGAGTGAGTCTTATATGTATATTCCCATCTTTATCTAGCATGAGGCCTTTTGGGGAGTGAGTCTTATATGTATATTCTCATCTTTACCTAGCACGAGGCCTTTTGGGAGCTCATTGGCTTCAGAGTTCATCGGAACTCCGAAGTTAAGTGAGTAGCGCGCGAGAACACTCCCATGATGGGTGACCCACTTGGAAGTTCTCGTGTGAGTTCCCAAAAATAAAACCGTGAGGGCGTGGTCGAGGCCCAAAGCGAACAATATCGTGCTACGGTGAAGTTGAGCCCGAGTTGTGGTGGGAACCCGGGCCGGGATGTGATAGTACTTTTATTAAAATTTATATTCTATTTTTGTTATTAAATGTCCCCACATCAAAATTTTGATTTTATTGATATGCACATTTTAGTTCTTCCAATTATAAATTATAAATAAATTTAAATCTGAAAACATTAAAATTAGTGACACATAAGAAAAATATGTAAATACATAAATGTACGGAAATGACTGTACCGAAGTATATTAAATTGACTTGATTGTACCGAAATGTATGTACCGAACTATATCTAATGAATTTGTATACCTAAATGTTTGTACCGAAATATATTCTAATGAATTAGTGTAGACTTTAGAAAAATAAGAATCATGAAATTACAAAAAAACATGGAATATAAATGATGGCTTTTAAATAGAACTAAGGGACTAAACTCAATATTGAATTTTGTACAAGGTGTTAATCTAAACTTCATCTATATAAAGATTAAAATCTTGTTTTCTATAAATTTATATATTAATCTTCATTAGGGTTTGTTGGAATGACATATATATAAATTTTTCATATGTTAAATTTTCGACATATAAAATTTGTACATGCTTGATTAAAAATTGAACCAATTTCTTTTGGATCTGTTACTAACACTTCAAATAAGTTATATTTGCACTTCATAGATGATATTTTTAAAGTGCCAACAAAAACTCTCGTCCATAAAATTTGAACTCAAGTCCGATTAAGTTGGTATAACATCTTGTAATGATTTGGCACTGTAGGTGACCAAGTTTGGTTGTGGAGGCTACTCAGTAGGTATTGGTATCAGCCACTCATTGTTCGACGGACCGGCGGCGTATGAATTTATGAGTGCATGGGCTTCCAATTCTACCAAAACTAAGAAACAACACAAAGCTTCGGAGAATCCTAATTTACCAGTGCACGACAGAGGGACACTACTGATGGACAAGTGTGATGAAGCTCCAAAGGGGAATAGTACAGAGTTGTTGCCAAACCGAAACGAGGACGGTTCTCCCGGAGTGACAAGGGCTGCAGCCGTTGGTCATTTATATCAATTGATCATACAAGCAGCAGCATCCAATGACCACATGAATTTCCTCAAAAATGGGTCTAATATTTTGGATCAAATTAATGATCGTAATTATGTTTATAAGACCTTTCATCTGAGTGGTACACTGATTGAGAGTTTGAAGAAAGAAGTTTGTGGTGATGAAACGAGTAGCTTTCCATGTTCATCCTTTGAAGTTGTGGCTGCTCACCTCTGGAAGGTAAATTTCTCAATTAATTGGCGCTCTTGGAGAAAACTAGGTCAAATAAAACAAAAAGAAAACACTAGTTTCCTTAAACTTTCATAAATAAGGCTAATTCTTACTTTCATAATTCTAATAGTAATCAGATGTATAATTGTGTATGCAGTTCTCAAATCGGAGATGAATTTTCACAAAACTTTGGTATTGGTTAAACCTTTTTAATGAATTAGTGGCTATAACAACATTTATTATTATTATTATTGACAAATGAGATTCTCTTAAAAGTAGAACTTTCTATAAATTTTCTGTCACCTCACAATTTAACGTCAATTCTCGTGCCAATATTATAAAATATTGTGCCAAAAACATAATGTGGTAGCGAGTCTCACTTTTGAGAGAATCTCCTTAATATTTCACATTATTCTTTTATATGATGAACATCTTGATGTCTACGCGTATAACATATATATATATATGTATGTATGTAGACATGTTTTGTATAATTTACTTTGAAACAAACCAGAAACAAAATTGTTCAAGTTTCTACGAAGATTGGAAGCTATTGAATTGACTAGGGTCCACTTGTATAGACCAAATTAGAACTTTTTCTTTTAAAGGTAGTAGAATACGATAAATGTGGGTGAGACCAATTTACATATTATGTCGGTCTCTCTACATTCAACTTCGACTAACTTGTGTAAATTAGAATGGTTTTCTAGTAAATGATCAACAAAATACATTCGTCCTTTGAACTAGTTCATAGTCATATCATTTTCCAGCTATATTCATCCCAAATATTAAAAACGCACCAACGCATGAAGACAAAGAGTCGGATTCGTTTCCGGTTGTGGTTGAATGATTGATGTCATGAATGCAGGCAAAGACTAAAGCTTTAGGAGTGAAGAAGGAAGCCATGGTGTGCCTGCAATTTGCCGTCGACGCAAGGAACAAGGTGGACCCCGTACTTCCCCAAGGCTTCAGCGGCAATGCATTCGTGCTGGCCTCCGTTGCCCTAACGGCGGCACAGGTGGAGCAAGCCACCCACAAGGCCATCGTCGAGAAGATAAGGGAGGCCAAGAACTCTGTCACCAACTCCTACGTGCAGGCATACATGGAGGCAGTTGGTGGGCCACAGACTACTCTGCCTCCCCTCGAGGAGCTCACTTTGGTATCTGACTGGACCAGAATGCCCTTCCACAAAATAGGGTTTTTGCATGAATCGGCCGCATATGCGTCTCCGATGGTCTCTTCGATCTCGCAGGTCGCGTACTTCATGCAAAACCCTAGTGACTGTAAGGGCATTGACATGAGAGTCGGATTGCTTCCGCAATACGTCAGTGCCTTATCTCGCTGTTTCATCGCTAACGACTAACGAGCAATGAAGACGCACAAATACCCCAACTCTGTGGCTAAGCTCCGATAGCGAAGGAAGTGCTGTTGATAGTAAATTAGGTCAAGAGTTCGAATTCGATTGGTCCAGTTGTTTGGTTGAAACTATTGTATTTGTTTTGCGTTTACTTTCTCTTTTGATTGGTAGTTGGGTGTGAGCTTTAGTCTGAAGGTGGTCTGTGGAGAGATTAATTATTATATGATTATGATTTTCCATATGAGGTGTTCAAAGATAGTTGTTTATTCCACGATTTTTGAAATGGTCGTTTGGTGAGGCACATTACAGTATTAACTTAGAAAATATAATTATGGTGAGATGTACTTTTCTTTGGTTACATTGAACGAGATTATTGTCATCGGGGACAAAGTCATATGAAAAAAAATTTACAAATAACATAATATTATTAAATTGAAATTTTTTTATAGCAATAAGTTCGTTTCATATAAGTTGCTCTCTGAACTATCAACTATGTTGTCATTATCTCCAAACTTTCTTCATATAAAATAAATAAAATGGTAAAAACTCACAATATTATAATTGTTATTCTTTTTATGAACTAGCATATCAGATCAGGCAGACGATGCTTGTTATTTTTAATGAGATTGATTCTTTGTGATCCCTCTACTCGGTTTTATACAGCTCAAAGAAAATAAAGAAAATAAAACTGCTGCGTGTGGATTAGAAAGTATGCTAATTATGCAGAATTAATTAAACTAAAGGGAAGCCAAAGCATATGTAGTCAAAGAGACATGATTAACTACTCCTTAATACATTGTCGGGGCCTGGACGACAAGGCCTCTTCATCATACAGATTAAACAAAGCCCTTATGACTCAGCAACTACATAGATCAGAGATTGGAGACTAATTCTTGCTACTCAAATACAAAACTTGAGATTGATTAGATACGAAGACAAATACGAAGAACAGCGCCACGACCTCAAAGAGTATACTACACAGGGATTGAACCAACCTTCCGGTAATTTCGCCTTATCTCCTTTCCTGCATCACCAAGTTCATGTTATTGAGTTTTCAAACAAGTAAAACGAAAAATATCAGAATCGTAATGCAACAAATTCTGCAGTTCAATGTAGCGTACTACGCAATGGTATCTAAGTTTTCGGTAATCAGTGAACTAGTATTTGTTCATACACTAGGATGTTAATTGCAATTAGATGAGCAAGAAGCGTTCCTAATAGCTGTACACATATGTGACAGGTAAACAAACAGCATGATTTCATTCGGTTATCAAGACATTGTATAGGTAATGTTAGTGAATCTGACAGTAACTGAGGCCGGTAAAGAAGCTCCTTACCTGTTTCATCATTGAGCTCACTAACTCATCCAACGAACCAGCATTGTGGGGAACATAACTGCCCTGTGGCTTCCGTTGGTCCATAAGGTACCCCTGCTGCTGCAACTTCAATGGTGCATCCATAGTTGATATTTCAACATCAAGAAAATTTGGTTTTCCAATCGAATTGAAGTCGCTGTTTCTTTGGAAGGCTGAGCTTCTAGCGTCCAAATTTTGGTCAAAAGGAGCCACGTTATCATTGACAGGCCTCAAGTTGTTCATTGAGCTACACATGACATCTGGGCGGAAAGGGGAATCCTGCTTCGGCTCATCCCAACCCATAAACAGGTCATTGTTAATTGTTGACCCAGAATTATTGCTCATTGTAGATGCCGGGATCTGCATTCCTATTCTTGAATCCTGTGATTGACAGGAGATTGAATTTATACAAGAAACATCAATCTGAGAGCTCCCAATTTGTGAGGACATCATAGGCATATCGTCCCTCAGGTTACTTACAAGAAGAGTAGGTTGTTTAAAAGTGTCGCGTGCTGAGAAAGAATTTGACCGGAATGCAGATGACTGAGCAGCGGTTGGCCAGTTGTCATTCAACCGTCTGTGATCCAGAAACGAGGGCGACAGTTCTGGTTTTAAGGAGGTCATTGATACAGAAGACTGCAACATTACATGATTTCTTCCGACTTCAGAATCTTGAGTATGTCTTAACAATGTGTCGTCTGTAAGACCGAAAGGATCATTTGACCTATTCGTCACTTTTCCATCTGTAAAACCACTGGAATTGGGATAAATAGGTGCGTCATAGGTGGAACCCCTACTATGTTGCTGATCAAGTTCCAAGTGTGCCGGAAGCATATTTCCATTACGGTTTCCAGGAAACATGACTGGCTGATCATTAATGGAGTTGCTTGGATTCTGTGCATGACCCAATTGAAACATTCCGGATGAAGGAAGGCAATGCAGACCCACACCAGCAGGAGTGTTCAATCTACCAATCATCCCATTAGGCGGGAAGGATCTGTATCCGTTGTTATGAAACTGCGCAGGTCCAGTCAATGCATGGTAATTTCCAACTCCATTCATAGAAGCTGTTCGCAAATATGAAGAATCCGAAGTGCCTAAGGCTGCCACCATATTAGCTTGTTGGTTTGCCACACAGCTGATCCTTTTCAGGTAGAGCCTATACTTCTGCAAAGATAAAATAAAAATAAGCTCTGTAGAATAGAAGATAAAGATTGTACGAAACTAAGGATACAACAGAATTTATACCTGGAGATGGCTTGCAACATTTTCCCTTGTAAGCTTTTCAACATTCATCAAATCTAGAATCTTTTTCGGTACAGCCTCTGCATACAAAACAAAATTTATGCGAATCAATTAGTTTTAAAGGTTTCATGTGAGAAACAAGCGTTACAAACAAGCAAAAAATATGACAGATTCCGGATGCATGAGTCAACTATTCACTACTAGGAGTTTCAAAGCTAGGGTATAATTTCTGAATTCCACATATTACAAATATGTGGATAATTTCAAATAGCTTTGAACAGGGATAAAGAACATACTGTCAATGCCCAACTGATTAACAGCAGCCACAAATTTGCGATGCAGCTCCACAGACCAAACAACGCGAGGCTTTTTCTGGGTTGAAGGATCGTCATTTTCGTATTCATCCTCATCATGATCCTCATCCTCGCCCTCATTCTGATCCTTCCGTTTCTTATTGAGCTTTGCATTCTGATCTGAGTTTCCCATCCCTACCGACCCAAGTCCTCCTTCGCCACTTCCAGCGTGCGACTTGTCTTGATTGCCAGAGTTCTGGTCCTTTGAATCAACCTTCTTTCTGATCACGTGCTGCCAGATGTTCTTCAGCTGCTCAATTCGAACAGGTTTTAGGAGGTAATCGCAAGCTCCGTGGGTGATTCCCTTCATCACAAGCTTGTGATCCCCATTTACAGACAACACTAGAACATGTTTACATTCATAATTAGTAACAAAGCCTAACTTGAAAAACAAAATCTGCAGACTTGAGATATTTCAAATTTTCAGAATCGAAAACGAATGAATATAAGAGATTTGAGCAGTGCACAAGGGGCTTTACTTATAACAGGGAGATCCATCTCAAGCCCGACAAGCTCAAGTAGCTTGAATCCATCCATGTCTGGCATATGCACATCACTGATAACAAGGTCAAACTTGTCCTTGTTTTCTCTCAACAACTTTAATGCAGTGATTGCCTGACTCGTCGTCGTAACTGCAAAATCCATCAAATGATATAAACACACCAATTCTACAGGAACAAAATCAAACCTTCAGATGCTAAAAGTAGAGCAACCAAAACATACCAATCTATCGTAATCTAATCAAACATAACAAAAACTCTGACTCTATCTATATACAATGAAACAGAGAATTCAAATTCAACCTAACTGATTTGAGAATCCAATTGCTCTACAATATCTAAGCGATAATCTTATTTCTAACTTCAAGCAACAATTTGTTCTCCTAATTTTAGAAAAAAGAATCAATCTTTTGGATACAAATTATTATTGCAACAAATTCACAGAATTAGTGAGAAAAATATAAAATTGACTGACAAAATCTATTCAGCACAAAGTCTAAAAACCCAATTGAAAATTACTAACAGAAATCACAAAATCTAAATAAAAACACCATTTTATCCCCCAAAAAAATAGCTTGATAACAAAGCAAAAATAAATCAGAAAATTCATGACAGAAAACCCAATGGACAAACCATGATATTGACATCTACGGAGCAGAGCCTCTAAGAGCTTGAGGCAAATGGGATCATCGTCTACAGCAAGCACACGCATCCCAATGGGAAACTGGTCTCTGGGTTCATCGAGTACCCGCTCAACGGTCATTTTTTCAACCAGAGAACTTCACAACTCCAAGCAACAAAAATGGAGGACAGAGAAAAAGTTTGAACCTTGAAGCTTTTTACTACCGGTTTTGACAAACCCAGCAAAACCCAGAATTTAAAAAATAGAAGGATGCAGAGAAGATGATTTGATGAGATGGGTAATTAAAGAAAGAGAGAGAGAGAGAGAGGGATTAAGGAGTGTGATTAGTGGTAAACATGGAATATTAATAATAAATGCCTCTCTTTTCTCTCTCTTAGTGTTTGTGTAATCCGAGAGAGAGAGAGAGAGAAACGGAATCTGAAGATATATGCATGTATTGAGAAATTAAGTCCTCCCTCTGTAGGCCTTCCTGAAATGGACCCTGTTTTTCCTGGTTTTTGGGTTCAGTAGAATCTCAGTATTTGATATCAGAATTTAATTTTCATTTGAGTTTTTTCCTTCTTTTGATATTTATTGTGTTTTGACTTTTTGTGGAAGAAATTATAATTTTTGTCTACGAAAATATAAAAATGAAATTACAATTTATCCAAGTAGGGTTGGTTTTTTTATGTGCAACCGAAAGATTTTACCGCAGGTTCTGAAACAATTTAATCGCTTCACATATGGGAAAAAAATCTTTTTAAATTTTATTCTTATAAGAAAATCTTTGTTTAAATTGTTTTCCATTTTTACCTACCATTTTTGTCAAAATTTCCGACTTGGTTATTTCAATATATGTCTTATTAGATTTCCTCCGAAAATTTACATGATATTTGAACATGCCAACGAGGGTTACTTGATTTGTTTAGGATCGTTCTCTTCATTATCAAGGTCTAGTTTCGAGTTCATATGCCAACAATCACTTTTGGTGGGTGATTTGTAAAAATAAAAAAAATGGCTAAGACCTCAAGTTCTGAAAGGAAATGATGATATACCCTGAAATGTGGTAGCTTCCCCTCCTCGTAACTTTTTAATACCAATAAAAAAGAAAGAGATATTTGAACATGATGTTGTTTGGCTAGATATATCTTGATACATAACGTATTTGTTTTAACACGTTCTTAAAATATAACACGACATGAATTAATAAAATAATGTGACTTCGCTATAACAGCTACAACAAATGTTTGAAAATGCATATTGAGTAATTTTACTAATAAGTCAACTTTCTCTGCTGTTATATATTAGTTGCTTATTATATTAACACTCGATAAATTGTTGAATAAACCCTACATACTTAATATATCCCACATTTGCTTTTTCACATAAAAATTATCTTAACACATCCCACATACTTTCTCATAATACCCCCACACCCCACATTCTCAATATACACCTTATATTTTGTTCATACACCCCACATTTTCTATACACCCTATTTAACCATTTGAACGTTTAGTTTGCCGAAAATTTTCAAATCATCTGAACGTTTAGTTTGCCGAATGATTTCAAAATGATGAATCGTCATCACCATCGCAGCAAAGAAACTGTTGAAATCGTCATCACCATCACCGCACTGGTCAGCCAAACGGATGAACAGCCGCATGGATCCAAAAGAAGAAAAGGGCAAACAAAAGAACTCCCAACACAGCACCTCTAACAAATGCCAGAGATAAAGCTTTTAATTTGGACCAAAAATGCCGATTGGAATTTGACAAAAATGTTGCCTGAGATTTAAATCATATATGGGTTTGTTTTCAATTCCACCATTAAAGCCCCATCTCATCTGTTTTTAATATTTAGTGATAATTTAGGTGTTTAATTCTTCATGTAATCATTGTGATCCCTAAAAGATGAATATGAATATAGAAGCTTAAATAACGCAGTAAACGCAAGATTAAATAATGATCGATGTCATCGAAATCACGAAAACAATGAAAAATATGAAGTCTTCATGTGAAGTTTCCGAAACATTGATTTTGTGTTCCATTCGTCAAAAACAATTTTTCTCAATCAACATATTTGTAGTTTCATTGGTTAGGGTTTTGTTCAACAATGGAGGGTGGGAGGGTTTTGATAGTTGAGAAGATAAATAATACACTACAAGTGATTTGGGGTGTATTTAGAAATTTTTATTTATTTTTAAACCTAATAAGGTCAAAGTTGTCATTGCATAATGGAGTAAATAAGTCATTTAATATTAAATTTTAATGTGTGGTGCATTCAACATTTTATGAGGTGCTAATATAAAAAGCCTATTACATTTTCATCAGAACAAATTTGATTTATTTTCCTTCTCTTTCTTTCCCCAATGATTAATCGAAAGTATATGGGTGAGTATCCTCATTACTTTATTTTTATTTAATACACGTATGTTATAAATAAATTTAAATTATGAAAGGATAATTCAAACTTGAGTACAAATAGATATGTACACAACTCTAACCAACTTACCGGATCCAAAATTTGCAGTAGGTTTCAATACTTAAGAGTTAAGAAGGGGAATTGGGAACATATGAAGTAAGAATCCACCCTGACTTCTTATTTGTACAGAAATTAACAGCAGTTATCGTCTTCCTCTTCTGGCGAAGGACACAAAAAGAAGTAAGACACAGTAGCAGCAGATCGATCACACCTAAGTGATAGAGACAAATTAAACAAAAACTTGTGAAAGGTGGGGTGGAATTGGAGAAAGAGACACATGGAGCATGATGATTGTTAATGGAAGCTGAGCCAATCCTAATACATGCAAGAAAAAGTTTCCAAATCACCTTAAAGTTATATGGAATGCGCACTATATTTACACATATCCAATTGTTTTTGTGTGTGTGTGTGTCATCTACTCATGCATTTTAGTGGATTAAAACGTAGCATAATTTGTGTCTGGAAAGTTATATCAGACAAGGTGAGGATTTACCGTTTATAAATTAAGGGGTTTCTATCTTAAACCAGCTGTATATCCACCTTTTATTAGTGCACACACTCTCTAGATTACCATTGGTTAGTACATGTAGCTAAGGTTAATAAATTAAACGATTATATTAGATTGCATTTGATGCATGATAATAGTATCATCTCACAATCAAACTGCATAATTGACACAGACATATATATATATATATATATATATAAAATAGTTTTTACCCAAGGAAAAATTCAAAATGATTAGTGATGAATGAGAATGAGAGCGAGAGCGAACAATAATCATAATTTAACGAAGAATTTAGTAACGGTCATTGGCAGTCACCATATATTATTGAAATGGATTGCACTGTAAACAACGTATAAGATTTGCTTCCACTTGATTGTAAAAGTTGTGAAGTTAGATGAATTTTTTTCTTTTGTAAGCCATGATGATTATTAAGAGTGATGCTAAAGAGATTAAATTTTTAAACGATAGTTTGCATGATGTGGTGATTATTGGTTGGACTTGGATTCCTTCTTTTAATTATTCAAAAAGAAGCTCAACCATTAACCGCCACATCATGCAGGTTACAAAAATGGTTCAAGATTATTAAACTAGTGCAAGATTAATCTTAACATCAAACATTAAATTAAGGTACTTAATCCTACCGCATCTCGGAGGATCATGCAAGCATTATCTGGCTCAAAACAAGACACCAATAAGCTTATTAATAATATGATTATCAAAAGCACCATCATTGACTAAGCCAACAACATTAAACTAATGGGGCATGATATTAAGAAAAGCTTATCCCTCTCTCCCTTGTTCTCTACGAATTTAATATAATTTGCGTGGTTATGATAATGCATTGTTTAGAAGATTCATGCTGGTGCAAAATCTTGAGATTCCTTGCTTTTTGAGTCACATGACTTTCCGTTTGGCATGATTGTATATTTTTTAGATGATATGCTAGCTAAGGTGGTAGGGTTTTAAGGGGAGAGGGGAGGAACATTGTGCAAGTTGGCCTAAATATAAGGCTTAGGAATGGTGAAGCTTTAGCTATTCTTGTCTCCGATAAGGTATATATGCTCACAGTTTAAAAAACATGTTCAGTGACTTTCCTATAGTCTTCCTTTATCAGAATCTATTACCTCATCAAACTCTTGTTCTACATCACCAACACATATGGCTGACTGGTTTGGCCGGCTATTACGTGGAGAGAGAGATGTTGCGTTATTTAAATTTGAGTGAATAGCGGTAACCAGGTATGTCGTAAACTCCAACGTGTTAAATTTGAATAGTTATTCTATCATGCCTTATACGTGTAATTTGTAGTGATTTTATGTATTTGAGTTTTACTATATAACTTTATACACAATGACCGATTGTAATATATATCGAAATAAATTTAATCGAGTATACAGAACTAGTGGGAATTTAACATTGATTTACTAGTGATTTTAACATTCATCTTTCATTCTCCTACATATGCATTCCCTCATACAGTGAGTGCATTAAGAACTGAAAATATTCAGTTTGGAGTGCATATGCATGGAAAATCGCTAAAACCCTAATTCGGTTGTAGAACAAAATCTGTTAAGAGATTGAAGAACATACTGTCATGGCCACCCAATGTATTAACAGCAGCAACAAACTCTCGATGCAGTTGCAAAGTCCAAAGGACCTTCTGATTCTGGACTGGATTTCTAGTGCCTACTACAGACCCTAGTCCAGCAGTTCCTTCAGCACCACTTCCAACATGATCAGACATGCTTTGTTGTTGGAGAGATTTAATTTTTGTGTTCGGATGTTCGTATCTGGCACCAGCCTTGAGGGGTGGAACCCGGGGGAGTGGGTGGGACCAAATTACGGAAGAGGAGAGGGTGGGGTGAAGATGCTTCGTGTGTCAGTGTGTGCGGTTGGACGACCAGGTGGTCCGCCGTGCCGGACTCATATTGATTTTCAACTATTTTAATGTATATTTCATTGCTATTTATGTTTTTATGACGTTAGACATTTTAATTTTGAATTTTTCAGTTGTTTTGTTGGTTTATGTTTCTATCAACACTTTGATTGTTGGCTTGCGGCTGAATTCTCAATCATCTATGTCTGCGAAATGGGTATTGTATATCTCTCCACACATGTACTCAATTGTTTACCTCTTGAGTCTTGGCCATGAAATTGCAAACGATATATTTATATTAAAAAGATAATATGTCTACCTTATAATAAATAAATTACAATGCAAGCATACAAATAAATGTATTTAGTTATTTATGGAGTTGATACTTGATCAACAATATATTCTCGTCACATGATGAGAGAAATACTAATAGAAAAGCATATTCACGGTTCACGAAACGTCGGGATTTGGCGCATTATATTCCCTTGAAATCAATCCTCAGTATTTCCAAGCATTAGAAGCTGCCAAACAAGAAACACAACATTAAACTTAAACCTACATAAAACTTGAAATAAGAATTCAAATTGAGATTGGGTTTGGACACTTACCTTGTTTTGATATGTCCCATCCATTGTCCTGGCCCAGAGCCCAAAAGAAGTATCCCCCCAAGCCCAAAGACTTAGCGTACCGAACCTTCACGTTCGCCGACCGGACACCATCATACCCGACCCAAGTGCTACCCGATACAGAATAATAAGACGCTGATTCGACATCAAACACAACAGTCGCATTAGTTCTGCTGTTAAAATCAACTACTTGGCTGTAAACCAAAATCCCATCCCCCGGCCCAACACCCGAAGCCGGTGCCCCGATTCCGTTCACTTTCGGGTCCCTGAGCGTCCAAGTTTTCCCGTACAAAGGCAGACCCATGACGAGCTTTTTGGGCGGGACACCGGCTTCGATCCACGACCCGATTCCATAATGGGTACTAATATTACTCTTGGAATCATACAACGCAGCATTCATCCCGGTGAAATTATCCCTCGACCCGTGATAGTCAAAGCACATTGGGCTGGCCCAATCCAAATATTTACTTATTGCCCCGGCCGGATAAGATCTTGGACCGCCATAAACGGTAAATTTCCAAGCATAATACACTGCGGCGGTCAAAAGTAGACGGGGTTTACCGGTAACTCTAGCCTCATTATCCAGAGCCTTTCTCCATTGCTCGAACAGCAAGCCAAGATTTGTCATTTCCACAGCATCTTCTGGAAACTCCCAGTCCAAGTCAAGGCCTTGGAACCCATATTTCCGGGCCACCTGAATTGTGGAGCGGATGAAAACTTCTCGGTTTGCCTGGGTGGAAGCCATGAGTGCAAACGTGGTTGAATTGCTACCGCCGCCTCCTATAGACAGGAGGGTTGTGACGGCCGGCTTTTTGGTCCGCAGCGCTTGGATGAATTCGGGTATTCTTGCTTGGTCGAATTCCGTGACGTTGAGTTTGTAAGTGATGGGTTCGGGTACGAGGAAAGCATAGTAGATGTGGGTGAAGTATTGGGTGTCTATAGAGGATGGTGAGAAGGAGTTAAATGATGGGAAATAGGCTGCTCTGATACCTTTTGCAGATGGATAAAAACGATCCGAATTCGAACCCGAGCTCGAAGAAAGCATTGTGTGTAAGATTACAAGGATGAAAAAAAGCATCAACTTTGGGGTGCCCATTGCGCTATATTTCTGAGGTACAAGATTCGGAATGGCCGGCAGAATTGGAGTTATTAGGTTTTTTATAGAGGGAGGAAGTCAGAAGTGCGAGAGGCTATGGAAGTAACCACGTTGCCGACATTTAGCTTTGTGTTTGCAAGTTTGTGGTTGAAGTTTCCTGCTGGATATATGTCAAACTAAAGTAACAGCTAGGGTTTGAACTCTGAAGCAGGAGGAAAATATCAAACATGTACAGCCAAATTTACAGAAATTGTGGCAAGAAATGGAGTGTAGCTATTTGAAAAGGAATTATAAATTAAATAGAAGTTTCTGCCGAGTTTTTCATTCAACTCTTATCAGATGAGAAAGTCTTGTATACGGGCTGCTATAAGCCTTCTCACGCCACCTTTTATGAGAGAGTTACGGTAAACCGAAACGTCTCTTTTAACGGGCGAAACACATGGGAGAATTAAAAATAAGTAGAAAAGTTTGACTTGGTTTTGAGTTCACTTGAGAATATTCTTTTAAAGGTAGAAATCATAATACGAGTGGTACATCACGTATTTTTATATAAGTTGTGAGAAATTTTATTTTTTAAGTTATTAACTTTTTAACACGCATATTCCATCATTTGTATAATGACACGTGATGTACCATCTCGTATTCCGATCACACTAAAAAATATCTTCTTTGAAGGGTCATTGTTCTATCTTCTTAGTTATGGGGTAGCCACTAATTTTTGTCATCATTTAAAGCATACACTCATGATCGCACGTGCACCGATAGAATTGTTGAAGTACCACATGAAATTGATCGAGTCAATTTGCGTATCGTACAATTATTCATCGTTCTAGATACATTTAGTGGTGATCGGTGAAGAAAGCAACCCACTAAGACTTTGGAAGCACCCAATTACTTTTTAGTGCATTTAATCTATGCTGTTTATTTTGGGGTTCAATGGATTTTGGTCCCATCACTAAGTTGAATGCTTCATCTCCAAAGTTGGTAAACCTCGCACAGATAGGTGGACCATTTCCCACTCAAATTGTCAAATGTTAATAAAAAATCCAAAACAAGTTCTGGGTGCGAAGGTCAAAACCAGAAAAGCAATCCTATGTCAAAACCAGAAAGGCAATTCTTTGACTATTTGTAGTTGCTACTTGGCACTCATATTCTGTAGTATGGGCCTAATGGGTATGACTTTTGGGCCGACCCGAAAGGGTTAATGGTGGATACCTTAGGATTTTAGTTTGGGAACAAGTTAGGGCCATGTCTAGTGACTCGATCTATACACTAACAAATTCTATGGTATTTCTCGAGCCCGTTTGGGATTGAGAGGTTTCATTTTAACTCATGATTTTGATTGTTTCAAAGCAGGGTTGCCAATTTCAAACGTGACACTTTATGCGATTTGAACTCGCATGAATATATGGCTCTTTTGGAAGTGATTTTAAAATTACTCAAATTATTTTTAGAGAATATATTTTTGAGTTCCAAAAGCACTTAAAGTGTTTTTTCAGGATTCACTTGTATTTTTACGAAAAATTAGTTCCAAAAACATTTTTACCACCAAAAGAGCTTTTAGCCATTTTAAAAACAATTTGGAACGAGCTTATAGAATCAAAGGTCCACATGATTAATATGATTAAAACTCGACTAACAATGTTCATTTAGCATTATATTTATGAATTGATAACATTTTCTTTGTGGATCTTCTCATGGGTTGACTTTTGCCAGTTTTGAGTTTAGTTGAAAGCAATATTAGAATGAGTGACTTTTTTAGAAGTTTTCGTGTTGCATCCACTGCTCTTGAATATCATGAACCATATAGTTGTCTTTCATTTTCCTCTTGTTTCTTTAATTCGTAGTACTATTTTGAGCAGGTGATTGTAGGTGAAGAAAAATTTACATCTAACGAGTTGATATGAAAATTGTATCTATAACACTAATCATATGACTTATGTGACAGACAGAAAGTCACATCACCACGATATATGCAAGTTTTTCTCCGATCATGTTGTCCCCTTTTGAAATAGAGTTCAAATGTTTGAAAACATTTTAGGTGGAGGAGATGAGTCCTTTCTTCTTTTGGAGTAGTTCGTTTGTCGAACTAGTTTGGAAGCTGGACAGACAGGGAGATCCCAAAAGGAGATTTGGTCCCATATTTGATTTGACTATGAATGTTTAACATGTAATCATATAGGTTGTTTGTTTCCCTTAAGCCAATGAGAAGGTTAAATGCTAAACTCCACTCAAGTCAGTGTGAGTCACTCAATTTTATTAATACTAAACTTTTATGTGTGGGATTGGGTGAAAGAAGACCTAAAAATGACTTTATGTCCGTGCAATAATTCTATTAAAATATATAAATAAATAAATTCAAAGACTAAAAAGTATATACGCAAAGTTATAATTTGAATGATTTTGTAACATCACGTGAGATATTATACTTAGAAGTTACTCAAAAAATCATACAAGTTATAATTTGAGTGATTTTGTAATATCACATTATAATTTGAGTGTTCTAAGTATACTGAGAAGTTGCTTGAAAGATTATATTTATCTTAGGGGTTAACTTTGCAGATCTAATGGTGTTTAGATATTAATAATTCGGCATGAAACGGCACTATCATAGCACATTAGCATGAGGAGCTCCACCTCAGCTTCCCCACTATTTTATTTGTCGGCCATTTGACGCCATTCAAGCATTGACAAATCATCTTTTATTTTTTATATCTTTCGGAAAGAGATTAGAAATTAAGAATATTAGCTAGCTTTTGTGCTAGTGAACCAAATTAATTAGCTTTAACCTGCCAGATTAATTTATGTTTAAGTGGATCCATTGCGTGCTAATAATCTATTACTGTAGTAACATGGACTCTAGAGTTTAAGGATAAGGAGGTTTTAACTTTTTAGGATTTTTTAAATTAGGGTTTAAGCGGTTGACAACAGCTAAGTTTAAAAGGCTTAAAATTAAACAAAAAACATATGCACTTATTCCCAATGATAGTTAATTGTTCAATTGATGGGACTATTAGGTTATGAAAACGACAATTATAAACCAGTAATTCTCGAAATGCATGTGCCCTTTTTAATTTGTTAATAATTTACTTCACCTACCATATCTTATGAAACCAGAGAAAAACTTGTTTAGAGTTTACGAATCACCACGTCATAATTCACATATTCGTAGATCATTTTTCACATAAATATTGAGTTTATGTGTGTGTTGTTCTCACTCGACTTCAAGTGATCTCATTCAATGCAAGAATTGTTTTAATTAAACATCTCTAATGAATATACATTTATACGTAGATAAGTTTCTCTCGTCCACTGCATTTCAAAAAGAAGATGATAGAGAAGTACTCTCATTGATCCCAACTCAAAGTAAAATCATTTCATTCTCAAATAGGGAAAATAAGTCAATGAAATTACAAGTAGATGTCAATAATGTTCTGTCCACAACACACATGAGAATTAGATGAGTATGGAACATCCAACGAAAGTGAGGTCCCCCGCAGAATGTGGTAAGGGGCATACTCCCATAGTCACATGTACTAAGATGTAGTTCATGCCCTAGCTAGGGTGACATTGCTGGGAACATCAATCGCTTCAATTCGGTCCTTTTTTTGAAAAATAAAAAATCAAAATACGTAAAAGACTTATAACTCAAGTAATTAAGAGTGTTTATCATACACTCATGCATGCATTTGTTTATGCATTGCCATGAGTAAAACATAATTCTCGATCCGATTTCAAAATAAACAACAAATCAAAGAAGAACGATCATTTCATGAAAAAATTAAAAGTTCCATGGATCCAATCAAAGCATGTGACAAATTACCATGACATTTAAGTAAACCTAACACTATAAAGTTATATAAACTTTAAAGATCTTAATATTTTTTAAAAGAAAGCTACTAGCAACAGTGGATTCTTCCAGTATCCATATATACCAAGAAAAACATTTACTTTCCCTCCTATCAACAAACACACTTTTAATCCTTTCGGGTGTTGCGTACAACTTTCTATCAGCTCAAATTTTCATAAACCCACTTGAAAAAATCAGAAAAAATCCTCCAAGATTTCTGTAATGGAACCGGCTAGGAATTCTGAAACAAATATCTTCTCGGTTGCAGAAGTTCCTCCATGTCCAAACACCCCACTTCAAGACCCAAAAGAAACCAAACAGAAACTAAGAGTTGAAGAAGATGAGGAGGAGATGAAAGATCAAGAAAAACAGAAGAAACCCAGCATCCGAATTGATCTAGAGGCTTCGGATAGCGATTCGAATCGCGGGTTCAGCTTTGATAATCCGGAACTCAATCTACTCGAATCCCTCGAAACGGTGTCGTCAGAAGGCACCACCGCCCTTGTTTCTGATGCAGCAGAGCCTAGGGTTTTCCCATGCAACTACTGTCAAAGAAAATTCTACAGCTCACAGGCGCTCGGAGGGCACCAGAATGCCCACAAACGAGAGAGAACCCTAGCAAAGAGAGGGCAGAGGGTGTTGGGGTCCCACATAACGGCCTCAGGTGCAAGTTTTGGGTACCCTTATTACTCAAGTTTGGCTTCTCTGCCTCTCCATGGTGGTGCTTTTAGGGCACTGGACATTCAGGCTCATTCCATGATCCACAAGCCTAGTTCCGTTATGCCTTCGTCTGCAATTGGGTTCGGAAGTTCTTATGGACATCGGAGTTTTAGGTCAAGACCGATTTTTGATCAGCAACCAACGGTCGGAAAGCTTGGAGTTGCAGCAGCTAGAGGTGGTGGTGGAGCTGGGAGGTTTGACATGGCAAAGAGCAACATGGTTTCACAAGGCAATGAAGAAATTGGAAAATGTTGGTTGGGAAACGACGGTCGTTTCAAGAGTAGCAGTGATCAGGAGGAAATGAAGCTTGACTTGTCGCTCAAGCTCTAACTTGTTAGTACCTAGACGGCAGAATTCTTCTTCATTCCTTTGTATCATATATGATCCTCTGTTTTTTTTTTTTTTTCTGTCAGTATTGAGATGTGGTTTAGAATTCTCGTTTCACATTTGGAGTATGGTTTGTGTAAATTTGATTTTTGAGAATAGCAAGAGCATTTGATAGTTTGCTTTTTTTCGTCGCTTAATTTTCTTTTCATTTACTGAATCTAAAAGGTAAGAAAAAGTTAAAGTGCAGGACGAAAGGAAAGTGCAAAAGTCATTTTCGTTCTTTTTCATCAGCTAAAGGAATTTCTTTTCGGGGTAACATGTATTCAGAAGTTAGAGGCTGCACTTCAAAGAAAATGGTGAGATCTGATTTTCAAACAGAGCTCCTCTGTTTTAGTCCAACAAGATTTCAACAAAAAGTTATGCTTGCAAGAGAAAGAACATGTGAGTTTAGTAAGCCTTGTTCCAAATAATTTAGGATTATTGTGTCTACTTCGATCCAAACAAAACAATCAATCAAATACAATGGGACATATTGATTAGATAATCTTGTAACATGTAGTGTACAATTTCTCCACTTCTCTTTTCCTATGACATGGTTAATCAGATAAGGAAGTGAATGTATACAACACGTCGTATGCATTTCGAAAATGGTATAAAATAAAAAGTTATTTTTGTGTGTTACGGAAAATAAAATTTTAAAATAAAAATCTATTTTTGCAAATTTTCAAATTTGTCTTAGGTTCAGTTTTCAACCCTAAACTAGAACTTAAAAATCGAAATCTAAAATCTGAAATGATTCTTAAACAAACCCTTAAACAATTCTCCACTCACAAAAGAGATTAAGATTGAGATGGAACATATGTAAAGTTGACAACTTGACATTACAAGAAACCCAAAAAATGGAGCCATACTCATGAATACTAGATTGATGATGTTTTTTTTTTTTTTTGTCCTTGTATGAAAATATAAAATGATTTTACTTTTTCTTTTAATTTTATATTCATTAAGCAAATACTATTATCTTTGTCCTCTTTTGAGAAGCGTGTAATAAGTCACTTTCCTCAAGTGATCTGAAAAATCTAGAAAAGATTTAGTTATAGAATTATATGATTAATTTATGTGTCACATTTTACTTTACTTGCTAATTAAGTTCCTATCACAAACTAAAAAAAAATTATTAAAAAAAATAAAATAAATTTGAGGTTGGCGTAAGTAACTAAACCTGCTGCCCCAATCAAGAAGACTTTAGAATAGTTGCTCTATAACTCATATTCATACACATTTCTCAATTTATTTGGTTATTCATGAAGAGCAAATTGAACAAAATTACGCCTTCGGACCATCATGTTTTACACAAAGAGTGATAAATAACTAATTGGAAAACATTTATAAAAATGTGGTTTTATCCCTAAACTCTTTTATACTTCTCACACATTCTAATCGTCAGATTAAATGAATTGAAAAAAATCAAATAACAGAAATTAACAAGAAGTGTGAAAGATAAAAATGAGTGTGTAAATAACATTACCCCATAAAAAAAGGCTCGTCGCAAATAAGCCCATCCAAACTCCATTTCATAGTCAAAACCCCATAAAGTGCACCATTTTAAAGAGGAAAACTCTAGACTCGGAACATTATTGCACTTAGAATGTTACTACACTATAGGAACAGTTTGATTGTTTAAGTGTCTCTTACTAACACTACTAGTTGTAGTGGAACTAAACTATCGAAGTAAAATTCAAGTGTCGGGTTCTTCACCAAACTCAACGAAATGGTGGCGTTTCGAAACCCTAATCCTTACTCAATTATTTCATCTTCCAAACCAATGAAGGACACATAGCCGATAGCCTCCGGGTGTGTCAAACTTCGTTTGCAGCTTGGCTACTCGGAAATCCAGAAAACAAACACATGGATACTCCATGTCGCCCCCTACCAATCACAGATGCATCTTAAATGCCAATTTCCCATCACTTGCTAGCAGTAAAATTCCATACAATCAAAAGCACCATAGCACAGACACAGAGTTGCTGACCAAAGTAAATATCACAGCATTCAGGAGCTACATACTTATTTATCCTTTAGTGGGTGCTTTCATACAAGTATACACCTGACTACCTTGGGCAGAACAGCTATCTTATCAATGGTAGATTTCTTTAAGTAAGAACAAAAGAATGACCGGAAATCTAATTTGAGTTATCAGATATTTACCGCTCTATTTTTCCACAAACGACTTGACTTTTCCCAGCCATTTGATCAGTTCTATTCTATCCTTGTTCATCATGTATTGATGCAAGAAAACAGAAAGCTCATCATTCACTCCCCTTGCTTCTAAATACTCATTGAACCTCTGTTGAATCCTTCCATTCAAACTCCTGCCCATAAAAACAAGCAAACAGAGTCACCACCAATCCCAAGGGCTAAGACTGCAAACCAAAAAATAATAGCCGAAGCATAAATTGACATGCTGATATCATAACGACCGATGAGATAAAAAAATAAAAAATAAAATCTTAAGTAGGGTTCATATTCAAGTTCCATAGATATTATAGGCATGTAATAGACACCAACGTTCTGTTGCTTAATATACTTGATCGCAAAAATGAAAAAAATGGCTTTACAATCCAAAAAAGAAAAATACAATGAGGGAGACATGAAATTGTACCTGAAATCAGGTCCCATATAAGGTTTAGCCGGCATTCGATCACGCTTAAGAACATAAACTTTCTGAACCTCCAAGCGATCCGGCCAGGCCGAGCACAGAAACTCCAAATCCTTGGAATCATCCCCCTTTGTAATATCAAGAAGCATACTAAGGTGAAGACGCACATCTTCTCCTGAGCTGTCATCTCCAGTTTTGGGAGCAGTTTCATACCCATCAAACATAGTCACTTCAATTTTAATATCTTCAGTGTCTCCAAATCTCCTTCTCATTGTAATCCACTGCTCACCCGGTCGATCTTGGACGGTAAACGATTCGAATTTCGTGGCAGGCTGTTGTGATTATAATTATTGTTAAAATTCCCATCACAAGATATGAATGTGGATTAGAAATTCAAAATCAACACTTTCAAGAAGAAACACATTTAATTATACTAGAAATACGTTGAAAATGGTATTAAAAACCCTGGCACTTCCTAAAGAAGCACTTGAAGGTGCTTCCTGAAGAGCACTTAGAAGTGCATTCTGAACTCTGAAGTAGCAATTGGTAGTCCATCATAAAGAAACATCAGAAAAGTGCTTCTATACAAATTACATGAACGAGAAGCACTTCTGCAAACGCAGTCAGAATCGCTTTTAGTTAAAGCGCTATCTAACAGGCCTTACATGTAAAAAAATCTCAATACTGCAATGGAAATTCAGAAATAAGCAAAACCCACTTAATCAAGTATATAAAGATGGTTTCTTTCAGAGTTTCGATTCATGCAATTTTCTCGGAAACCAAACAGAAGCTAAGAATAACAGAGAAGGATGACCAACCTGCTGAGGAGGAGCATACTCGGACTGGTACTCCACTTCGTTTCTGATGATTCTGATGATGTTAGCTTCCATGGGCGACTGGGAAAGTGCTTCAGAAGCGTAATGTCTGCTGTGGAAGAGAGAGGCTGAGATTGCCTTCCGCAGCGGAGGATTTGGGTGGCGCTGAACGGCATTGACTAGGGTTTTGGATGCGCAACAAGCAAAAAATGGGAGCGCGGTTCGAGCGGTTCGAATGAGTCGAGCCATTGGGGGTTCGGAATCGGAATTTTGAATTTAGGGTTTAAGGATTTTGGGGGTTTAGGTTAACAGTGGAACAGAACTGGGAAGAAGAAGAGGATGGATTTCTGAATTGGGCTTTGAAAGTTGTACACGAATGTTTAATGGGCCTAAAAATAGGCCCAGTTGAATTAGGACGAAGAAGTTGTCCCCAGATAAATTCATGATTTCGCCTGGATACATACCGCAAAGATTAATATTGGGGCCTTCAAATATTCACTGCTTCAAAAGTAAAATTCAGGTTTTCCATATATGCTAGCGGATTTGAACTTCGATGAAAAGAAAAATGGAAATATTAGTCCGGTTAACTATTCTAACTCACATGTGCAAGATTAGGACCTGGATTGTCTACACTCCTCATTTCATACCCTTTTCATTTCCTCTTATTTTTTGTGGTCACGGTTAAGCCACTTCAATATTTTATATTAATTTTTTTATATAAATAATAAGACAAAAAGTAATGGGAATATAAAATGTTGACCGTGACTTAACCATGACCACATAAATAGAAGAGAATGGGAAGGATATGGGATGGGGAGAGCAAACAGTCAAGGTCTGTAAGATTATTGATGTTTAAAATAAACAAAGAAGGCCGTGAGTTGAATTTGCAACCTATTTCAATGGTGTGGAGGAGCAATATCACCAAACAAATAGCCCGTTGATAGTTTGGAATATTTCAAAGTTTAAATTTTTTAGAGAATTAGATGCATGCAATCAGAGTCGCTCAAAACACGAAGTATACTATACATTAATATATAGTACGTCTTATTTCCATCTATAGTTCTCATCACGATAAAGTTGTAAATGCAAAGGGATACATCCCTTGCTTACACATCAAAATCTCAACTCATATTCATAGAATATTTTGGCCTGGAATTCCATAAGTGGATAACAACTTAAACTATACGAATACATCGTTATCATAACATTTTATACTAATGATATAAGAATACGTGTACGTATCTTCACATCAGATTTGATATGGAAGTCTTTCACCCGTATGTGGTCCCGAAAGGCCGACATGTCCCATGGATGGGTGTAATAATTGATGTGAGGCCATCCCTCGAATTATAAGACATGAAAATGCAGAAACAGTACTCCCACGCTCCAACATGCATGATGAAAAAACTGGGTTACTTGATGATGGATGGTGTTGGTAGGGTTTCAAATTTCCAATCAAAGATTATAGATATTTATATTATGTGGAAAGATTTAGCTGTCGCTTGGCAGATCATCAGCTTTTCTGGACACATGGGTTCATGCAGTTAAGATAAGCATGCATGCTAACGCACGCGTATGGTCGTTTCTAACTTGTTTGGATTAGACTGCATTTCAAAATTCAAAGCTTAATGACAAAGTTTTTTATTTAACATCAATTGTTTTTTGGTTTACTCATCCACACAAGGTTCCAAACTCGATTTTTCCTTTCTTCAATATCAATTGCATGATGAAAGGATTAGCATTGTCCTTGCACAATGATTACACGCATAAATCGAGAAATAGTTCAAAAAAATTTGCGGGTTCCACTCCTATTATGGTTGATTTAGAATTTTACTTGTTTAACTTTAATGGTTGGTCTAATGGTAAGTAAGTAAAGGTTTGGAATCTCAACTTGAATTCAAATTTCCACTGATATATTCTTCTTATGTTTGGATGAATAAATTTAAAATTACTAAGGAATTTCAAAATGACGAAAATTGAAATGACGATATCTTATTTTCTATAATCTGTAAATTTTCTTGTTTGATTAAACTAAAATAACAATAGAATTGAATACGGAATTTGTTATTTTTAAACTCTAAATTATAGAAATTGGAAAATGACACATATTTACATGGAATTTGAACTTGGGAATTGGAGGTCTCAAATTCCAAGTTTTTTTCCACGCGGAATTTGAACTTGGGTATTGGAGGTCCCAAATTCCAAGTTTTTTTTTCACGCGGAAATTCTAAATTTCTATGTTTATGAATCCAAACAAGAGAATTGGTGTATGTCAATTTATAAATTCTGACTTTTACTAGAATTCCAAGTTCGTTTTCCTCATTCAAACATAGTGTAAGTTCACTGGCTCTGTTTTGACATATCGTTTATGGAAAAGGATATTGTGGAATTATGAATTGGATTCTAATATTTTTTGAGTTCACCCTAGTGAGAGTTTAATCCCCACTGATTTTCCTCACCCCCCCCCTCTCCCCCAACTAACAACTAAAATTTTTTTTACCCTGTTAACGTTATTTTTTGTATTAAAAAAAAAGAAAAAAAAGTTAAAATGATATGGAATTATGGATTCTAATACTAAAATGATATCATCATATTAAGAATGTGGGTGCGTAATCTCATTAGCAATTTGGTGCATCAATCATAATTTATTTTGATACGTTGGAATCATATTACATGTCAGCGTGAGAACGTATGCAATTAATTACTAGAAAATTACAAGGAGCTTTACAATATAAAATAAAATAATATTACATTTTATTAAAGATGATGATATTGTAAGGTTATGTCGTTCTCTAAGTTGTTCATATCCTAATAAAGGATTGACAATAAATCCAAACACAACTTATGAAAAGAAAAGAAATAAATAATTTACCAAGTGTCGAATTAGTAGCTCCGGTTTCTGCAAGTTGATATATTTATAGCCGAATTTTATAGAACACCAAAAAATTAAGAAGTTATTGAAAGATTAATTTATGAGTTTTTAAATGATTAAAAAATTGATATAAAAATAAAAGATTAATTTATGAGTTTTTAAATTGATTAAAAATTAGATATAAAAATAAGGGTGAAAATCAAGACTGTCTCCATTGTACGTGACAGTGGCTCGTGGCATTGGACGCATAAGCCATCATTCTTGCTACTAACGGTGGAACCCAAGTTACCGCATCGATTCTTTCCTCCTCCTCACTTTACTTTTAACCCCATAAATTATTTATCAAAGTAAGAATAAAAAAAAAAACTAACGAAAAAAGTATGAAAAGTTTTAACGATAAGGATAAAATAAAAGGTAAAGTAAATAGTGCCATAATTGACTTTTTAGTGTAAAAATATGATTTTTCGTTAAAGTGAATAGTATCATAAACTTTTCGTTAAAGTTTTCTTTCTAAAACCATGAAAAGAATTCACAACTCCCTCATTTGTCCATTTAAAAAGAATCTATCAAATGAGAACTGTTATTGTCACTGAAAAAATCTCATCTTGTATTTCTCATAAGTAGTTTTTTTTTTCTTTTTAAGTATAAAAATTTAGAGTACTTTAAAGTACAATTTCCTATCAAAATAATAAATAGTAAATTTTAATAGGAAAACTGCTGATCCTTTTGGGATTGTTTCTCGATGATTCAAAGCATTTTTTTTTTTTTTTATAATTAAAAGCGCTTATGAATGCGTTTTGACAGAAAAATTTTAGAAGTAGTTATGAGCTATAGGAGGACCTTATGTTGAATCATCCAAAAGCACCATGACCACCACATGAAATAACACTGCTATCAAACCCATTACATCTTGGCATCAAAGAAATATATGAGCACAAGATTATTGTTTCCGATTGGTCCTAAATTCTAAATTGAAAAATGATAGAGAGATCATTTTTTTTTTTTTAGCTGCAAAGAGAGACCACATTTAAATTATCTTTTTAAAAGGGGTGGGATTTATTTTTATTGTGGAACCTAGCGAGAATGAGTTATATAGATGGGTTTAACGCTACTGTAACGTCGCGTTCTAATAAAATAAACATGTTAAAAATTTTAGCACATAACATAACATTATAAAATTGAAACGCCACAATTGATGACACATATCCATAGTTGGTCTCTCCCTAACATCATCTGACACACCCCGACCAGAGTTAAGGCATGCTGGCCGTCACCTGAAAGTGACGTAACCAAAAGGAAAGTGATGCATAAAATTATGGATAAATTTAAACCAAATCTAACACTTATTTAAACTAAAGTAGAGAGTGCGCAGTAGTGGGAAGAACCCATAAAACACAAGTGTTCAGAGCATAGATGACATAAAAGTGTGCAGTCAAAACTAGTTAAAGTACTTAATACATAACTGGGAAAAGCCCCCTACACTTATTTATGGATATGTCATAACCGTCGGATATTCCTTGTATGCCACAGAGTAATTAGCTAACTAGGACCTGAAGGGGCGAAAAACAGAAGGGTGAGTGGGCAAAAACAAGGGTTTATAAAACACATTTAGGATATGAACATACTAATCCATCGCCGTAAAACATGTATAGTTTTCAGAAAATCATATTACATATAAGTATGAAATCAAATGTAAATCAATGATAAATCTAGAAATACGCTAATCAATATCTCAATTGTAGCATAAGTAAAATCAAGTGCTTATCAATCTATGCTAACACACGAGTTCATGCAGTGGGAATCTGACATGAACAAGATTAGATTGGGTGTAATCATAATATATGTTATAGTATTACAATCACGTGAAGACTGGCGCTAGGCACATCACATATGAGTCAGAGTGGCCTATAGCAACCTGTACGACAGGACTGACACCTATAATGGATCCAAGGTGAGTGTGCGGTGCAATGTGAACATAAACATGAAGCCTGGCCCTGGCTGGGGCGAGTACTACACTAGTGCAAGCATGCATGATGAGCAAGTATAATTTATGTGAACATGCCATGACAATATACAAATCTCAACGTCATAATAGCATTTTTTTTTAAATTAAATAAAACATGGCATGATAGGCGTAAATCAATTCAAAAGCAGATGTGGAAACTATAAAACTTTGTGTGTGTATATATATAAACAAATGTCCACTCACTGATACGTCGATGAATTGTAGCCTCCTAGCCTTTTTTGTCCTCGTACCTCCTCGGAGTAAGTCTTACCTTTATGTGAAATAACTTTACTAATTAATTAATTAGGACCTACACAAAAAGGCTAGGAAAATCCCCCATAGTTTGCTCAAACGGCGGGTTTAAATATACGAAAATATTCTACACGACGTCACATACTTGTACACGTCAAACACATGCCGGTCGGAGGCCGAATGCGCCGCCACGTGCTGCCAGGTCGGGCCACACGCACGCCCACGCACCTGACAAACTGACAATAACTCTAGGGGAATATTTTGTCATACTTCACGAAATATTCCTCTAAACAGTAATGGCGTCAGTTACCTTTACGGTGTTAGAATATTCCTTTAGCTTTAACGAAATATTTTGTCTTCTCCTCCAGTGGACCTCCGCCGCCGTTTGGTTCGCAGGAATTTGGGGAATTTTCATTGATTTCTGGAAAAATTTCAAATCTTCATATCTTCTTCATTTCTCAACCATTTTTGACAAACTTTATATGGAAATGAAGCTTATGAAGAGTAAAACAAGTCTATACCTTTTGGAAGTCCAAAAATGGACCGAAAATTGATTGAAAAGGCTCGAAAGTCTCGGACCTAGTTTATACTCCTTGAAACTGTGTGTTTTGACGTTGGCTCTTCTCCCAACTTAGGTTAGTGGCCATGGGGAGTTGTGTAGGTACTTCCAAAACTCCCAAAACCTTGTAACTCGCACGGGAAAATGTTGGAGAATCCACACCCAAGTCGGAGTTTCGAGTTGCTCTAAGTTGGACACTCAAAACTTGTCCATTTCTTGATCGATTCGTACGGATGGGTTCGTGGGTTTGAGAGGAACACAATGGTGATGGTTTAAAGGTCGATCTGTGAAATTTTGAAGGTGGTCCTCGTTGTTGCAAAGAAGAGAGAGTGATGTGCGAGGAGAGAAGAAGGAGAAAAAGAGAAAGAGAGAGAGAGAAAAAAAAAGAGACAGTTTCTGATTGGGCAGAGAGAAAAGAGATTTCTTATTGGGTGAGGGAAAATAAGTCACGGGTCCAGTTTTAAATAGGAGAAATGATAAGGTTTTGTACAATTTGGAATCTAACGCACCTTATCAAAAACAGTAGCTTCCAACACTAAATAATTAACACACAAATTACGTTATCAAGAAAAATAATTTAAAAGCCGAATAACTACATCCACGACAGGTTCCACTTTGCCAATGAAGGCTTAAATGTCATTTTACACACTCGGAGAAAAAATTACATGAAAAATTAAGGACGGATTGTCACATTACCCGTTCCTCATTTCCTTCCCACTTTAGCGCCAATAAGCAAGATCCAATATTAAACCACTAATCCCAATTCCCAACAATTTAATCCAAAGAATATTGCATAAAGCACACCCAACAAGGCAAACCAAGAATTAGCTTATACGTTAGGTTGGAAGAAAGTTAGGCACAACCTTTCTCTTTCCCTTCACCAATCACCCCCGACTCCTCGAAAGAATAATACATAGATGAGTATGAATTCTTACTCAAAATTATCCATTGTAGATTTATAAAACTTCGTATTTATGATCAATAATGTTCAAATTATAAATTATTTTGCAAAAAATTAATTAAAATTAAGATCATTTAGTTAACTGTATAAAAACAGATGAATAATTTTCAAAGCTCTATGATTAAAAATACGAAAAATTTTGAGTGAAAATTTATACCCATCATTAACTGGCCGAACATTATTCACCATTTTATTGTTAAAAACTCCAAAAAGCGTGACTGGATTTTTCACAAAAGTTTCTTTTATTTTCTTGCTTGGTGTCTAATATTTGTGGCGGCTACTTTTAGCAAATTTCAGTTATGGATGGGCATTTTTTTGGTAATTAATTCGACTTGTAGGGACATTTTTGTGACTAGAAAATAGACTGACACAACAGGAAGCTTCCACTTTTTGCTATAAAACCGAGCTCACGGCGTACACACTTTCGGCCGCCGGAGCTACCTAAGATTCGTCTTCCAAGAAAAAAATTAAATTAAATTATAAATATCTCTGGAAAAGAAAATTCTCCGAATCTTCTCTTCCCGTTCTGCCCTCCCGAAACCTCTACAATTTCCGAGGCGCCCTCGGTTTTGGCAGTTCCCGCTGGCTTTTGGGGCAGCTGGAGCTCTCCGTTTTCGAATTCAATTTTGGTTCGGGAGTTTTTGGATTCTGATCTTCCTGGGGAGAGAGATAGAAAGAGAAAATGCTTTGTAGGATGGTATTGGTGCCGAGGAAGAAGAAGATTGGGAAGGTGCCCGTTTATCTGAACGTGTACGATCTTACTCCGATCAATGGCTACGCGTATTGGCTCGGCCTCGGAGTCTACCATTCCGGCGTCCAAGGTAATGAATTTTAATGGGTTTTTCCTTTTTTTTTTTTTTTTTGGGTTATCTTCTGTTTGGCTGTGGAGAAAGTCTTAGATCTGGCCCTGTGTTTTGGTTGAATGAAAACTCAACAAATTGGTATCAAAGCCTGAATTTTGGATCCGGGTAGTGGAATTTCGATCAAGTTGAACTTGGGTTTTATGTTTTAGGAAGAATCAAAGAGTTTCTGAGTGATTTGATTCTGAAAGGGTAATTAGAATTCAGTTTTCATGTTTTGGGTTTGATAAATTGAGAACCTTTACTCTCGAATGAACTCAATTCCAAGCGATTTTCCCAATTTTTAATTGATTTTATTATTGTGGTAATAAAAAATAATATACATTTGTTTGTTTGTTTTCATCCTTTGATTTTAGACTTTTATGGTAGACACAAATGTGGATGTTTGTATTTGTTTATTTGCATGAATGTTTTATTTTAATGTGATGCAGTACATGGCGTTGAATATGCCTTTGGAGCTCATGACCATGCAACGACTGGGATTTTCGAAGTGGAACCGAAGCAATGCCCCGGCTTTGTGTTCAGAAAATCAATTTTGATCGGAAGAACGGATTTGGATCCGAAGGAGGTCCGTGCATTTATGGAGAAACTAGCAGAGGAATACTCCGGGAACACGTACCATCTTATCACCAAGAACTGCAACCACTTCTGTAATGATGTGTGCACCAGATTGACGGGGAAGCCTATTCCTCGCTGGGTCAACCGCCTCGCTCGGCTTGGTAAGAAATCAAGCATCTACTATCAGTTTTTCTGTGATCCCGCCATTGTTAGTATATCACCACCATGAAACAAAACCACTTTTAGTAGCATACCATGAATGCCAATGCCACATGACAACCGGAACTTCCATTGTTACCCGTTTTTAGATTCAGTTTATTGCACATAGGATTCAAAATTCATTGGAAAATAACAATTTGGATACACATGATTCTGTATTGTTAATTACTTGTCCATTGTATAATCTTTTTGGGATGTCTATGACGTTAGGCAGACTTTCTTGTTCCGTAATAATTCATATGCGTCATTGTGGTGAACTTTAGGTTTCTTCTGCAATTGTGTTCTTCCGGCTGGTCTTAACGAAACTAAGGTTCGACAAGTAAGATCAGAGGGGGTTTGTAACGGAGACAAGAAGAAACTGAGAAGCCATTCGACTAATTGTGCATCCTCAAATCCTCGGTCCTCTTCATTAAAATCTTCCACTGCAGAGTCTGCAGGCAGAAGTAGTAGACAAAGACACTGCGTTCCTCCGTCTCAATCTTTGGTCCATTCTTCCTCAACCTCGGCGGTTACTCTAAAGCTTTGACACTGTTTTTAGTTTTGAGACTAGGGTTTTAGAATTTCAATTGCACAAAGGAATGGCGGAAATTGCAAATTCTAATTTTTTCCCATCATGTAATCTGTTTGCATTGCTGTGTAAACAGCTGCTTGAAATCGTTGAAGTCCTGCTGTTTTCTGTATAAAATAAAAAAAAAAAAAAAAATGGTTCATGGTTTTTTTGACGCATTGGTGAGAAGTGAGAACTATAAGGTTGAAGGTTTTCAAATTGGTTTCTTCTATCTTCAAGGGACCGTACAAAATGAGAATTGAGTCGCACGCATGCAGACCTATGAATTTTCGCAACCATTTGGTATGGCACCTCTCACACAGGCACCAGTCCGTCTGACTGAATTGGTCGATCTGATCCAACGCTGGTCCCACTTGGTACGAAAGATGCCTTAGGTAGGCAGTCCTACGAACGTTTCTCTGTAACATGTAGGCGTGCATTATGGATAGTAGGTGGGTGGGAGACCTAGTGGGTTTTCTCATTATGCCTTCATTTCGTAGTCTGTTTGGGGCCCCCGCATTTTTGGTGAAAAACTTTCTCATGTGGGTGGATGGCTTTTGAGTTCTTGTTCTAATCTTGGGTTTCAGTTTGGGCTTAATTTGGGCTTAATTCAAATAGATCACCTAAACCCAAATATTGGGGCTTCGGCTCCTGGATTCTAAGTAACAAGAGGCCCACAAGACCGTGTATATCGTTTGTACCTACGTCTGAATCTCCGGTTTTCCTTGTAAATTAGAGTAGGTTAAAATATGCCTTCGGAAAAAACATTGAGTGTGTACATGTTAGTTTACACCTCAATTTTGCACGGGGTCTTTCACAAATAAGCTCCTCAAAACTCCATTTCATTACATCTGAATCGAGCAAGTGAAGTGAAAATACCTATAACGAGCAACCACAACCCCTACTTACTGTCAAGGATTCCGGCTATGATGATTAAAGTTGCTTAAAGTTCATGAACCCGCAAATCCCTATTTCTAAGAAACTTGCACACTACGTTCTTTTTTACGATTTTCAAATGTCTTTGTTGCAACCGATTTAAAAGTATTTGGAACCTTTACGTGCAAGTTACAAGTCAAACTTTGACTTGTTTTATGGATGCAATGTTTCTCTCAATTGATCGAACGAATTGAATAAGATAAAATGAAATAAATTAACATGGAGTGTATTAGGGATAAAAATAGATGTGTGTGGAATGTGGATAGCACCACCCTATTTTTTGAACTTGTGCTATACCATATGTGATGTGAATCATTTTGCAAGTACTTTCATTCCTTTTACAAAGAGAAACAAATTTATTTATAAGTTGTTTGATAATCATTTCATTTTTCGTTTTCACTTTTTGAAAACTGGAAACTGAAATCTTGTTTGGTAACTATTTTAAGTTTTCAATTTCCCTCATAAAAAGTGAAATTAACTACCAAATAAGATTTCAGATTTTTTTTTAAAAAAAAAAAAGGTAAAAACAAATAAAAAAATTGAAAACAAATGGACCCCAACTTTAGTTGAAAGTTGTTCCTTATCTGGAGAATGTGAAGTAAAGATACCTAGTATTGAAAGAAATCGACAAATCCCGTTCCCGTCCATAGCATTACAAGACAAACAATCTGCATGTGAATTGTGAAACCCTGCGTCCTTCTCTCTGTGCCTTTTATTAGATTCTCTGGAGAGATGTCGACCTTTTTACAGGAAGCATCCGGAGTCCGGACAACAACTCTGCACCTTCAATGGCAACCCCACCTTTAACTCGTACTTCATGTCCCATGACTAATCATTCTTTGGATCGACCCCGGGAATTTTCATCAAAGCATGGGATTCACCGATATTTGAACGGTTAGAATGAGATTGATTCATGCAAATTCAGTCGTTCACTACACTGGTACATCTCATACACCGTTACATCGTAGAATTTTCATCGACATCAAGGTGCATTGTATTGAAGTGAAGTGATTATCATGAGAAAGGTAAATGTTAGAATCAGTCGAATCCATGCAAGTTGATCCTAGATCTTTTCATGGTTTATGACTTGCGCATGCATATACGGATTGATTTTAACTGTTCTCTCCCTTTGAGTTCTACATGTATGTACGGTAGAATCAGCGTAGCCATACTAGCGAAGGATCCCTACGCTCCTCTTCCTAGCAAATCAAGGTATTATACCTTAAGAAAGCTTGTCAAAACTGAAAGGAAAATCACGGAAGGCATGCATGAGATATTGACTAAAAGCGTACCTTTTTTGGGCAGCAGATAAGGTGGATTGAGTCTTGTTTTCAATAGTAGGCTGTGGGGGATTTTCACATTAGTAGGAAGACTGCATGCTAAACTTGTGCACAAACACGTGCGAATTAGATAACATCACAACGGCTTATTTGTACCAATTTGACAACTTCAGCAGCCGATTCTTCCAAACCCACTACAAAAAGGAAACATGAAAAGTTTTATTTGTCAATTAAACTACCGATTAAACAAATTCATCGTTCGGATAAACCCTTCAGCAAGTAAATCAATAATTACTTGATTAGGATAATTTTTGCATTAGGCAAGACAATTTTCGAATAAAATCTCATGTTTTAGGAAAAGAAGTCTCCTCTAATAATGTGATCAGACAATCTTGCTCAAAATTTTCTCGTAAAGAATATCACTTAGGTTTTTGAACGTTACTTACACAAATAATTTTCGCACATTTTTATTTTATCATTACTAGATATTCCAGGTCTTCGAAAGGGCGGAAGAGATGAAATATACAAGTGGAAAGCAGAGAGGCTTCCGGTTCAACAGTCAACCCTGCCACCACCGATACTAATTACCACCTTCTGACGTTTTCTTTCCCAATATTCATTTCCTTTGACCGGTTCACACCACTTCGGGTCAGGTCTGGTCGCCCAAGATTGTCCCTTTCCTTTATCAATTTTCCTGACCCAAATCCACCGTGCACTGTCAGTTTATTTATCGACCCAAAGGACGGTCAGCAAATTTCACGGTTCAGATTGTGCCTAAGACCAACTTCAATGATGGGCTAAAAGCCAAATTACCTCTCAAAATTTCCCTCCAAACCCACTCCAACCCAAGGGAAAAATTTGGGCTAAATGCTAAATGTTAAACCAATGCCAAATTCCTCCCAAAATTTAGCCCAGAAATCGGAGTGGACTCCACCCAATATTTATTGGAATTTAAATTTTTTTAGATAAAAATGTTCATAAAATTAATTTACGATAGTCTACATATTTATTTTTTTTAAAAAAATTAAATTTAACAAAAAAAATAGACTAAATTCATTCTTTAATAATCCCGGGCTAAAATTTTACGCTAGAACGGTTGGAGCAGAAAAGTTATTTCTGGGCTAAAAGCTAGATTTTTCGGGCTAAAATATTTAGCTTTTAGCCCAACCATTGGAGATGGTCTAAAGGACCAAGATATTGCTTATTATTTAATTTTACGCCACCAAGAAAATAATAAAAAAGTAATAAATAAATTACCCGGCTCACAAGCAACTTGTCCAGTGTCGCCAACTTAGGAAAATTTCATATGAACAACTCTACCACACTCCCAATCAAAATGTCACCGCTCACGCCACACCACAAATCAGAATCTAAGGTCCATTTGGTACTAATAATTTAACTCAATTTTTTATTTTTTAATATATTCATGTTTGGATTTGAATTTTTAATTCAAAAATTTGTTTGGTATTCAATTCTTAAAATTTCAGTCGTATTAAAAATATAATAATAAAAAAGAATTCAAACTCTCTTCCTCTTCCCTTCTCTCCCGCGTCGGCCAATTCGCTGGCCGTTCATCTGAATCTGTAAAACCCCGACCAGTCACCCCCATCCATGTCTCTCTCTCTCTCTCTCTCCCCCCTTACTTCCCGCATTTTCTCTCTTACTTCAAACTCAAGCTGACAGCAAAGGAGGCCCGTCAGGTCGCCGATTTCAGAACTGATAAATTGGCCCAGGAGAGAGAACGATGGAGGTGATGGCTATGGGGATTCAACAATAAAGTTTTCCGTTTGGGTTATTTTTTTTGTTCTGTTTCTGAGAATTGAACTAGAAAACAAGAATTTTTAATTTGTTTTTACACTTTTTTATTTTCTATGCATTTTTTAGTGTAAAAACATTTTATGCTAATCTATACTAAGAAACAGAAAGGCTAAAAAAATTAAATGCGAGTCACAGTGAATTGAAAAACAATGTCCAAATCATGAAACGCTCTTAATCGCGTCCGGCGGATAAATACTCTTCACAATTTGAGCTATTAAGATGATGGGAGAGATGGTTTACTTCAACATTGATCTTTCACAAACTACATTACACAAACAATATGAAAATTACATCATATTCCCAATACAAAAAATCAACAACAGAAAACCAGCTGGGTTTCTCTTTTACTTGCCAAGTATAGTAATTAGTAACTAACTACATATATTTGTTAGCTCTAATTATCTATGAATTTCGTAGTTATGCTTCTCCATTAAATCGGAATTTATTCGATTTATGTTCAACAAACAAATGGGTTAGTAAGAGATCACTAGCTAATCATTATATAATCCAATCCCACCAAGGATTAACATCTCAAACACGCACGCTATACTACTAGCTTCAAGAATTTAATTGAATTGATTGGATTGGACTGGACCGGACCGGACTGGACTTCACCTTTTCCAGGCATAAACAAACAAAGAAAACCCAGCAGGACCGCCGCTGAGCTCGCTCTCCTCCGTGCTCGCCCACTCCATCACCGACGAACTTCCACCGGAAGACCCCGCCGACGACATCGAAACCGACGAAGAAGACAAGCTCTTCCCCATCTTTCGCCACTCAATCCCGCTCATTCCGAAATTCCACGAATTCAGATGACCCAGTTGGTAATTGTTCTCTTTAATCTCCCCGTCTTCTTCGAATCTGAACATGAATACCGCGTGGCCGTCGTCGCCGCCGCCGTCGCTCTCGAAAAGCCAGTTGTAGACGTCCCACGAGATCTGCAGCGGAGTCCCGTCGACTTCGATTCGCTCGTTCCCCCTGAATTTCCACTTCAACCGCTTTATCTGCAGGACAACCTGGCCGTCGACACTAAAGCAGAGCCGGGTCGGGTCGGCGTTTGACCCGCAATCGATTCGGATCTCCCGCAATTTACCGCCGAACCGGGCCTTAGTGGTGTAGATTTTCTTGGCGACGACGTGCTCTCTTTTCAAGATTGGGATTTGCGGAGTCTCGGATTTTTGGGCCCGGGTCTTGGCGTAGGCTTCGCGGGTCAAATCGCCGACAAGGAGGGTCATCTCGTTGTCGACGACGACGGCGATGTAGAACCCGGATTGGGGTTCAGGTCCGGAGCCGAACCGGGCTTTGGAGAGGTCCCAGAAGAGGAGAATGTTGGGGGAGAGCTTCTTGGAGCCGTGCTTCTTCCAGAAGAGAAAGGGCTTGATGTGGAGGTGGAAGGAAGGGGACGAGAGCGACGGAGGGAGGGGCGAATCGAAGGAGTGGCGGAGGAGGTTGAGGTGGAGGGAGCGGCCGAGGAAGGAGCGGGACCAGGTGAGGGAGAAGAGGGCGTGGTCGGTGTGGTAGAGGCAGGTTGTGAGGTTGGGGTGCCCGGAGATGGGAGGCGGAGACGGTGGTGAGAGGCGACCGTTGATGGAGGTGGACGGGCGGAAGCAAGAAGGGAAAGCGGAGGAGTAGTGGCGGGACATTTGGGTGGTGGGGTTTTGGAACTTAGTTAGATTGTAGTGTTGGGTTGTGTTTTAAGGGAATCTTTGAGGGTTTTGGTGCTTTTTGGAGCGAGAGAGAGAGAGAGAGAGAGTTGGAGAGAGACGGTGGCAAGGGTATGGGGTTTTATGGGGGGATATTGGGAGGAGAGGGGCAGGGGGAGAGAGAGAGAGAGAGAGAGAGAGAGAGAGAGAGAGAAAGGATCTGTCACGGACTCCACAGATGAAATTGGGAGGGACAAAGGTACGGAGAATAGAGACTGTCGAGATAAATATTGGACTTTCATGTTTCAACCAACACGTAAAAGGAGTCTTCTATTTGTAAATTGTACATGCTCTTTTTGCATGAACAGATAGAATGGATCACAACATTTTAATTTAATAAGTTGTGGATGGGTACTAAATACTATGGTTTTATACATTTTATCGTCTGTTTAGTACCTCTTATATTGGCATAGAGACAATTCTGTTTCTTTATACTTTCATCGGAAAAAAAAAAAAAAGTAATTAAGGGAAATTATGAACATTGTCTCACTGTAACAATTCAAAATCATCGTGCTAAATGTATGTAAAGTAATGAATTAAAAGTATGAAATACATTAAAATTACATGCATATGCTAAACTGTGATTGATTCATAAATAAATCGTAAGTCTAGTTTACATAGATGAGGAGAAGTAAAAGAGAAAGATGAAGGCGTGCAGGGAGGAAGAAAAGGGCAAGAGAAGACGCTAAAGGAACTCTCACGCTACGTGATTTGTGATAAACTCTGAAAATTCTTCCTGTCTATTATTAAATCTCAAACATTATGGTTACACGTAAAAGTCAAGGCAGGGCATTCTTTTGGGACCTTTGAAATTTGAATGAAAAAGTGGAAATGGCCAAAGTCTCCCCCTAAAGCGTGTCAAGAACCAAATTGATCAACTTAGAACCATTTTTTTGTACGTTACCAACAAGTTTAGCAATATTCAGTTTCCACTTGATCAGATAATATCTCAAAGTTCATCTTAAGCTAATATGGTGACTGTATGCGTGTATAATGAGCTCGATAGTAAATCACATTTATGGATTGTAAAAGTATTTTTGTAAGTAGTTTATCATTTTTTTGTACATGAGTAACTTGTCTAGCGATACTTGGTTTTTACTTAATCAAAGTAGGTCTTAAGGACAATATATATCTATAGTGAGCTTGATATTATGTTGTGACACATTGTGATTTACGTGGATGAATCAGCTGATTGTGAATTGTAAAATATTTGTAAGTGTGTTGTCTCTTATAAAAGAACAAGCAAATCAATGAACTTGAAACATTCCTTTAATTTAAATGGGACTAACAAGGTAAAATCCTTTCATAGTTTATGATTCTATTACTTTCATGCAAGTTCCTCTCACTTTATATTCGTTGGACTAACCGGACAAATATCATATAGCTTTACTCCCACTCCCTCAGCCTTTTTCTCATATTTTACTTTTCACTCTTGTATAAATAAGAGAAAAATACAAATTAGGAACAATTCTTACATTCGGTGGAGGAGCCATTAAAGGATCAGAATAGTAGGACTTGTTCTGCCTTTTTCTTCTTGTTATTATAACAGATGTGGTTGAATACTAGTCTAATATTCTTAAAATTCAAGTGTATTCTCAATCCAAACTCTTTTCGGTTTCAGAACGTGCTTCATTTTTCCTATATTCCTCTTATTGCAATGCAGTCTTCATTTCCGCTCCTTATTCTATCAACTTTTCTTTGGCTTTAACTTATATTTCTAAAAAATTATTGCTTACTCTTTTACCTCATATTCATGTTTCTGTGTTGTGAAATGTTTTAAATTCTTTATGTTGAATTTGAAGTTTTTCTATTTTTATGCAAATTACTCAAATCTCTCATGTTACGCGTTCAAATTACTTATGTATGTAAGAAACTCTCTCACACATGAAATCTTAATTCCGCCACTGCTTACATTGTATATGATCAACGTTAAGACCTGTTAGAACCAAAGTACAAAAAATTAATGTTTTTGTAAAAAGTTTCACCACAGATAACCTGATCCTATTGACTACAGAATAGTGGGGACATCCATATCGAGGCTGAGATAAGATACCCAACCCTAAATAAGTCTGTTTTTGGATTCAAACATGGCATGTATAATTTAATAAACAGCACGCTAATCCAATCCAAGTTGCACAGCAAATCACAGCAGCCACAAAAAGTTTACAGAAGTATTTTTACACTAAGAAGAATCGAACTCACCATTCACTGAAGTTTTTTTTTTGTTGATAACATCGATATTTTAACATTAAGGAGAGAGGAACTCGTCATTTACAAAAGTTAAATCTAAACTTTCGACAAATAAGAAGCATAACATTATATTGTAGTATAGAAAATGAATAGTCATGATTGAGTTGAGAAAATATTATTTTTGCTTACTAGCTAATCTAATGGGAGATACGATCATACCAACTCACATGCATCGAATCTTATTAGAATTTTGATATCAAGTGAATTTGAGTGAGAGCCATATTAGGATAGGTGACTTTTGAGAAGTGCATGTGTTGCATCCTTTTTTTTTGCTGACCAAAAAAAAAAAAACATAAATCTGAATTATTAGGTGTGTCTAGTAGTTCGAACTGTTGAAAACTTCATAAGAGTATCAGACAGCGGTGACCCATTTCTTTTGCTTTTGTCATCAAACTACCATAGAAATCCAAAGCATTTTGTGCTTGGCAAAGTCATCCTTTATTTTGTCTCCTTCCTTGGTCTTCTGCTTTAAAATTGCCAGCTGGTACTCTAGGTACTCGACCGTTCCTTTTAGTTGTACTTTTATATTTACAAATCAGACCACAAATTAATGTGATTGTGAGGTTTTTCTGATGATTTTTTTTACGAAATTTCCAAGAAATTGAGGCATATGAAAATGATGGGCTAAGGGAAGATGCTCGAATGGAGCGGGTGACAGACTCTTAATCAAGATTAAATAGAAAGAACGCTAAACATTTGATGAAAAACGCTAAATTATGATACATTACTGCTTATTGTATATTTAGGGTCGTCGTATAATATTTATAATGTTGAAAAGTCTGATGTCTGATGGCAATGAATGCCCACAAAGTATGTTAGCAAAAATCTTCAGCATGGGCAGAAATTTTCAATGTCCATGCAAAGTGAAAGTTGAATGTGAAATTGTATAGTGAGACGAAGTGTCATAAAATTCAAGATGCATTAACTGCATTAGTTTGGAGTTGCTCTATAAATAGAGCACTCCGCACGTTTTTAAGTTACAAGGAAAAGAAAGAAGAAGTGAACGAGAGAAAAATATCAGTAACATCATCTATTTTCTCTGCTTTTATTTGTTATCCTCTTGTGCTATAGTTTTTGTGTGGCATTTTACATCTACCTTGCACCTACCACTAAAAAGGTTATCTCTCAAACTTTAACCCTTTTATAACATATAGTACGTTATTGAATTTTCTTATATCAATATACAAAATGGCAGTAAATGCAAATCAAGTTCAATTGCATTGACTATATTTATTTTGACCTGAACTTGCACCGAAGTGGAGCGTTTTGGAGTCTTCGTATTGGTTTTAAGAAAACTAGTCAAAGTAAATGCTAACAGACAAAGACACAGTAGTTAACCAATTTTGAGGGGACTTGAAGGAGCAGACTCAGTCCGGAGTGACTAGAGTCCAAATGAAAGTACTTCTAACTACTCTTTTTCTTGCAGTTTCCTGCACAAAAAGGCTCATTCAAGGAAGGAGATTGTTATTGTGGATCGAGAGATCCAAACAGTTCGAGTTTTTAGATTTTTGTAAAGTGAGTAGTGTGATGATTTATTGGAGGCTGTAAGATTGAAATTGTGGCCGGATCTCTCGATCCACGGATCCGAACACAAAAATCCAAAGTGGATCTCAATCCTTCATTCAAGGTCCTTATTTTAGTCTATTGTATAGAACCTCACATTCGCTTGTATGTGCAAATGATTAAGCTTAGAAAATTCGGTTGTTAATTAACAGTGTGTTGCTAGACCGCTTTTAAAGTTTAACACATGATTAAGTTAGAGGTAATATCAGTATTGATTAGTAGTGAACTGGTACACTATCTCTTAAATTTTTAATATTTGAACTAGAATATGCACTAGGCGATGAAAGATTACAGGAGTGTAGAGGTTAACCTAACATTCATCAAGTCAAAAAACAGAAGAATCCCCACCATGTGCAAATATTCCCTAAACTTTAAGCATACTCCACAACGCAGTCCACACCTAATTTTGCGGTCATTATTTTCTGCGGGTATATGAATCTGGATTAAGCACGCTTACCACTAAACTAAACCCTAAATCTTAAATTAAGAGCAGCTAATCCAATCCAACACTTCAACTTCTGCACTTAAAAACAGAGTTAAGTTATACTTTCCCTTTGGATTCGGCTCCTATTTTAATCACCCATTTTAAATATTTTTGATGTTTTGGATTCTGGTTTTTTATAAAATTTAGATTGTCAACGTTAGGTACTTAGGTTCCGTAGTGGGTGACCCTCAAGTTGAATGAATTCATATTTGCAACAACTGAGTAGAGACTACTTCAAACTTAACAAAATGACAAAACATTCGGTATGTGCGGAACTACTTTTGAAATGATTAAAAACGATTTAAATTTGGAAGTTTTTTTTTTTAAATGACTGAAAGTGTTTTTAGAACTAATCAAAGGTAAAAATGCAAGTGAATCTTGAAAAAAACGTTGAAATGACTTTTTGTAAGAAACACATAATTGGTGCTTCTTCTAAAATGCGCTTCACGTGATTTTGAAACCCAAAATCACTTTCACTCATTTTAAAATCATTTCCAAACAAGTCATAAACTCTAAATAATGAAAACCCTTCTAACAATATTTCATAGTACAGTTAAAAAGTAATTGGATTATAAAATAACTTGCAAATGATAAAAGTGAGTACGGATTATAAAATCACTTGGAGATGATTTAGGGAAGAAATCAGAAACGCTTCCATTTTTATTAAAAATTTCAACATGCTTTTCATAAAATAGTTACAAGCGCTTCTTAAGGAGTGAAAGTACTTTCATTTTAAAATGTTTAAAACAGGCCTCATTTACGTGCAGGCACTAGGCAGTGAGG